AGCCTACGATTAATCTGATATAAGTTGAGAAAGATAAAAAAAATATATATATATATATTTTCTTGTAAATTGCCTCCATTTTAGGTTATCTGATCTTTAAAAATTCTGGCTTTGCACGTGTAAGTACTATGTTACAGCAGTATGCATGCTGCAGGCTGCAACCTTCCAAAACAGAGAGAGAAAATACTATACACTTTTGCTAACCTCGTCACATAGGATTTTAGATAACAAAAACATAGGAGTTATGTATTGTTATTAATAATTAAAAAGGACTAACAATGTTATGAAGTGACATTAATTAATTTTTAATGCTTATTACCTCGATTTATCAAATCTTTGTTATTGCCTTTTCATTTTACTTGTTTGACCCTTTGACCAAGTTATATTATAAGTTAAAATCTTACGGGGTGTTTGGTTGGCATGAATTGCGTTGTAATTGAATTGCAATTCAATGAAATTATAAATTACATTGTTTGGTTGGAGGGAATTACAATTCTCTCAATTCATTGAATTGCAATTCATAGGTCCCCCCTATGAATTGCAATTCAATGAATTCATGCAAAGGGAAAAGGAAATAAAAGACATATTTGTCCTTGGATGCTATTATTAATATTATTACACAAAGGGTATTTTAGTCTTTATATCACTTCTCTCATTTTAATTATTCCTCCCTACCAAACAATGTAATTGTAATTCCTACTTTATTCCCACCTTATTCTTTTCTCACCGAATTACAATTCATTTCCTCCTTAATTCCTTCCTTCCAACCAAACGCCCCGTTACATTTAAGTGTTGATCATCGTTATTAGCTTATAGACCCTAAATGCGTGTACATATTTGGTAGAATTTAAACTCTGCACATTGGTTATTAACAAAACAAGAATTATGAACTTATTGTGTGTTAGTTTACTAGTTGATTCGTGTCACAAGGCTATCAAGTTATATTATGCCATGGCATATGTTAGCACCTTTTTTGGTGTGTTTAATTTCCTCGAGCTTGGTCGAGTTTAAAATTTTGCACTTGATTTTGCACACTAGTTTTTATAAGCTTCGGTTTGATTTTATTAGCTTTAATTGACTTGTTTGAATTTGACGCTAAATTTTTAAACTCAATCGAGTTTGAACTCAAGACTACTTAAGTTTGAATTCAGCTGGACTCATTTACACCCCTATTACTTATTATTAAGACTTCAAATGAAAACGTATAATATTACACTACCTATAACTATAACTTAATTTTAGATTGTAGATAATATATTTGGTTATTTCTTCATTAAACTCCAAAATGTTTGTTAAATAATTATTGGCATTTAAGATGAAAATGCTAACTTTCCTATTTATGAAAATGAGTTAATACCCAAAATCGTCCTCGACTATAGTGATTTTTCTCAATTTCGTCCTAAACGACTTTGGTGACCTAATATCGTCCCAGACTTTTGTGTTTTGCTCAATTTAGTCCCAGACTTTTGTGTTTTTGCTCAATTTAGTCCCTCATTTGTTATTCTGTCCATTTGGTGTTAAATAAATAGACAATTCAGTAATTTTAATATTGGCATCTCTTTACTCATAGACATGTGAACTGCGAAATCCCTTTTTTTTAACGAATTACTCCTAGAATTACTCCTAAAACTGCGAATATAAAATTTAATTTGCAGGTCCGGGAGTAATTCTGGGTGTAATTCGTACAAGAAAGAGGAATTTCGCACTTCACAAGTTGAAAGTAAAGAGATATCAATATTGACATTACTGAATTGTCCCTTTATTTATCACTAATTTGACGGAATAACAAATGGAGGACTAAATTGAGCGAAACACAAAAGTCTAGGACGATATTAGGTCACCAAAGTCGTTTAGGACGAAATTGAGAAAAACCACTATAGTCGAGGACGATTTTGGGTATTAACTCTTATGAAAATGATCCACTTTAATTTTTGACAATTATGGAGGGGTTCTCCACATGATAAAAGAGTGTTAGTAATACTCTTTTCCCACAACTTTCCAATTAGAAAAATCATTTCATTTCATTAGATCACAAGTATAAACGTCATAAAATAGTTTGGAGTACTTACACGCTCAAAGTATGAACAATTATAATCTATATTTGTTTAAATGAGTATGTATTTGTTACGATCTTATTTAGAGCATTCACACTAGGAGTGAATGCTCTAAATATTTCAGTATTAATTCTCTCAAGGTGAAGAGCAAAGTTGATGTAGGATGGAAAGAATTGGTCTGCAAATGCTAAAATAATGTCAGAATTAAAATTTAAAAAAAAAAAAAAGGAAAGGAAAGGTTGTGCGCGTTTCGTGCACAACTGGTCAAAAGCCGGGTGCGTGTGCACGCGCCTGGTAACCGTGTCAATTATTTTATTTTATTTTTTCTTTTTAAAATTCATTTTTTTTTCCTTTTTTTTCTTTCCCAATAATTTTTACATTCTCCCCTCTAATATCCCAACTGATAATGATGCTCTTAGAATCGTAACATACTGTATGATTATGTTGGCAAGCAAAAGATTAACACATAAATGATTGTATTATTAGTACTGTGTTTAATGATTTAAGGAGTGCAATTGAGGTTGTGAACAAACATTAATTATTACTAACAATTCTTTAGATCAAATGATTTTCAATTCCCCAATTTGCTCTCACCCAAACACGCTGTAAAGACAGGGGCCAGCGATGTGTGTACAGTGGAGGTCACACGTGGCGAGCAGAGAAGGCCTCGGACCGAGGGGCATATGTGTGCTTTGCAACTCTACGTGAAGTCTGAACCCATCTGCGGCATTATTATTTTGTTTCTATTTTAAATTCTATGATTGCTGTGTTGTCACCTCCGTTATAATAATGACTCTAGTCATCTACAGTGAAAGTTTTTTTGAGAAATATACAGTGAAAGTTAAAAGAAATACGGAGTAAATATGATTAGGTTGAGTAGGGATGACAATCGAGCAAAACGGGACGGAGAACATATTATATGTTTTCGTTTCCGAAATCTCGACCCTGTCCCCGTTCTAGTTTATATTTCCGGTGAAAAATTAAAAATAGTCTCCTAAAGTATGAATATGAGTACTTGTTTGGCAATTTGCATTTGCTTTTTGATAGGGAGAATGAGGGTGGGGAAAGATGCCTTATTGTTAGGTCATGTCACATTTTTTTTTTTTTCACATTTCTCTTTTGTAGCCTTCTTCATTTATGGAGACAAATAATATAAACTTTTATGTAGACTCAAATAACATATACTTGGTTTCAAAAATAATATATACTTTGTATATTTTGGGGTTTGTTAAACTTTGAGACGTGTAGTGTCTTTAACTGCACATGGTTAAAACTGGTACTAATTAACAATAATGTTTAAATTTATTGTGTTGAATCTTTTTATAATGTTGTTAAGAAAGTAAAACTTATGGAATTATTTTAGACTGGTTGACCAATTAATTTATATCTTGAGAGTTGAAAGAGTTATATTGGTTAAATGATTTAAAGTTTCTTAACTTAACCCAAATAGAGGGGGGAAGGCCAGGCATACTTTTATATGGATACCAATAACATTTAACTACAAGGGTCCCTAGCCAAGTACAAGGACTAAGACCAAGGGTTAAGGTCATGAGCTAGGACATAGGACACAAAGTCAATGATAAAAGTCATGAGCCTCAAACAATGGCACGGGATAGTTAAATGAGGTTGATTCTTGAGCGGCAAAATACTTGGCTATTATTGCAAAATATTATATTATTCTATTATTTTAACAAATAATGTGTAAATATAAAAAATAAAGATTATCAAACTACTCAAAACGTCTTTAAAGTAAAACAAAAATTACAATTTTACGATTAATCTCCTCCATTTACTTTAGTCTTAATTCACTTTCTTAAGTTGTGTTGGCCCAATTATAATGAACCAACAACAATACTCTAATCAAGCTCTTTATCTTCTATTTAGATCAAACTCTTTATCTTCTATTTAAAATCTTTGTTATAGTGAATTCACTTCAAAATTGCAATTCATTCAAACAACAACATAATAAGACACTTACGGCGGTTACATTTGCTCTTTCAAATGCACATTATCAATAATGGCCGGATATTACAGAAGACGATTAGAACAATTCTTTCATATGCACCTTATCAATTGTGGTCAAAGAGTACACAAATAATTGCTAAATATAAAAAGTATACATATATGTATGTATATATATATATATATATATATGTGTGTGTGTGTGTATATATATATATATATATATATATATATATATATATATATATATATATATATATATATATGGGGCCAAGTTCTCGTGTGGCCAGGCCTTAACGTGCGGTATGCAAACACGCACCAATAGTGTTAGGAAACGAACAACAAATAAATGTCCCAATGTATCAAAAAATGCAACATTAAGTACAAATCATCATAAAAAGCACCATTAAGTATGTATAAATGCATCACACAGTGTTTAGAAACACACAATTAAGTGTGGGGAGGTATAATGCATTTTTTTTTAGTGTGTGGTTCGTTTTGTGGTGCATTGAAGCATTTTATTGTTGTGTGCTTTCAAACACTATTGGTACATTTTTACATACTTAATTGTGCGACTGCACCAATCGCACATTAGGGTAGGACCGCATTTGAGCATATATATATATATATATATATATATATATATATATATATATAGATTTTGTTTTAAAAGGATATTGGCTCTAACCGTTCGCGGCTCGCTCTGTAACAGACTTCCAATAAACTCCGCCTCTTTCTCGTTTCTTTGGTGTTTCCTCCTGCAGCACATATACGTACAGACACAATACTTGCCAAAACTAAGCACGCACAAAACGTTTTTTTATTATTATTATTATAATATCTCTTCATTTCGGTCTCTTTCACACTTTCTTCCCCTCTCTACCGTACAATGCTAAGCTTCACAGCTACAGACACTTGAGAGCCGGCCTCTTCTCTTCCCCTAAGCAAAAGCCTCTTCCTCCTTAACCCCCCCCCCCCCCCCCCCCCCCTCTCTCTCTCTCTCTATATATATATATATATATATATATATATATATGTACGTATACATTTATACCCGCCGTATACTCCTGTATACGTACATTCGTTTCTTCTTCTCTCTTTCCCTCTCTCTATAGATTGTTCGTTGGAGTTAGTTCTGTAGTTGTATTCTCTCGTTTGAGCTGCCGTTTCACTACAGAGAGGCGATGTTTGACCTCAATCTCAGCGCGGTGGAGGCGATCGGCGATCGAGGTGTGGCGGCGTCGGAGAAGGTTCTGGAGCTATCGGGGACCTCGAATTCATCCGTTGTGAATGCGGAGACCTCCAGCACCGCCGGCGACGACGAGTACTCCTGCTCGGATGGGTACGCGTTTGAGATACTGAGGAGGGAGGAGGATGGGAAGGAGTACGGGGAGAGTGAGAATCGAGGTGGCTTTGAGACGATGGAGCTGTTTCCGTTGAGCGGGGGAGAGGCGGCGTTGTTCAACCAGCAGCAGCAACAATGGTTGGATCTCTCCGCCAATTATGGCATTGTGGCGGATCCGAGGATTATGATTTTGCCGCCTCAGAGGCCGCAGGTGAAGAAGAGTAGAAGAGGACCGAGGTCCCGCAGCTCTCAGTACCGTGGAGTCACATTCTATCGAAGAACGGGTAGATGGGAGTCTCACATTTGGTAAGTTCACACTATTATATGATAGACGATATCTATGTTTCGGATATGTTCTTCGATGCTTTTGTCAAATTTGCAAAATATAATTAGACATAATCTGTGGATAATGCATGGGGATTGCTTAGCTAACACCAACTAATCGCTGTTGGAAATCGATTTATCTACTTGCTATTCTTGGGTTCATATTTATCCCTCAATGGGAATAATAGCTGTATTGAGAGTTTAGAGGACTCTCAAACAGTTGTTTGCAATACTGAACAATCTCTCTGATCAACATAATTCATCAGTGATGTCCATAACACATTTGTTTAAATATTGATGATCAGGTAATGTCACTGGATAATTTTGGTCATAGCTATATGCAGTAAGAAACATAGTAGATGATTTATCTCATTACCCATCACAAGTTGTTCGATACTAATGTCAATTCTGTTGGCTTTGTTTTTGTTTGCAGGGACTGTGGGAAACAAGTTTACTTGGGTAAGCGAATGTTTTTAGTACATGTTATATTGATATATTGAAACATTACTGATACAGTTTTGATGATCTATTCTTACTTTGGAATCTAAATTTGTTCATAGGAGGATTTGATACTGCCCATGCTGCTGCTAGGTAATGAATATCTTAAGCTGGGTTCTGCTTTATACTGGTCATGTGGTTCAAATTTGCTGAGTTTATAGTAATGGATGGATGGAATTAACTTGAAGAACCTCTACTAATATCAGGGCATATGATCGTGCTGCAATTAAGTTTCGTGGACTAGATGCTGATATTAATTTTAATGTCACCGATTATGAAGAAGATCTCCAGCAGGTTGGATAGTATTATTAGTATTCATGGTGGTTCTGATATCCCATCACATTATCATTGTAAATTTTGTGAATACTATGCAGATGAAGAACTTAACAAAGGAAGAGTTTGTGCACATTCTCCGTCGTCAGAGCACTGGGTTTTCTAGAGGGAGTTCAAAGTATAGGGGAGTTACCCTACACAAATGTGGACGATGGGAAGCTCGAATGGGGCAATTTCTTGGCAAGAAGTAAGATTCTATTACCTTCATTGTTGGTTAAAATGGATATCCTTTTACATTATATAGCATTGTTAATAAACTGAGGAGTACATGTTCTTATTGGTTAGCATATAACATTTGGATGCAGGTATATCTACCTTGGACTGTTTGACAGTGAGATAGAAGCTGCAAGGTCCTATTATCATAAGTTCACTGTTTTCTCCTATATGTTATATAATCCAGCCTCAACATAACATTTCTTGAACTTAGTTGACTTGGAATTTGGTTTTGGTTTTGATCAGGGCATATGATAAGGCCGCCATAAAATTAAGTGGGAGGGAAGCTGTGACAAATTTTGAACTAAGCGCATATGAACAAGAGTTGACTTCTGAAGTTGATACTGGAGGTAAAGGTTCTTTACAACATCCCTCATTGGTAATCCTTGTTGAACATGTCCATTAATAGGACCCTGACATTTCATGCAGGTGGCAGCCAAGATTTGGATTTGCATTTGGGCATTGCTCCTACTAGTTTTGTAGATGGCATGGGAACCCTCCAGTTGCAAAGTGGTTTAGCCAGTCCAAAGCATTGGGGAGTGGGGGTAAGTTGAAGGGCTTTGATTTAAAACTTTTATCTCATTCTATGCCAACTCTTTTCATATTTCTGCTTTTTTCCTTTCCATCTTAATTTTTAATTGGTTTGTATTAGATAGTGCATTGAAACACTAAATTCTTCTCTGTGTTGTAACCGGTTTAAATTGTCTTCCTTCGTATGCAGACCTCTGCTTCAAATACAGTGGAATCTGAACTACTACCACATGGCTTTGAATTGCTTTCTGAGCATCCTCCTATCTGCAATGGAGTAAATACTCAATTCTTTCCCATTTACAAGGTATCCCACTATCCCCTTGTCTAGCATGGTTTGAAGCATACTACAAGATTTCCATACATTTGACTGTCATTATTTTTTATTCTCTAGACAATTCAGTCTTCTCTTGCTCCTCCTGCTAATGTTCTAGGCCTACACTACTTTGAAATCTACATTGTCATTACCAGAGTTTAAAGGAGTTAGTAACAGCTGAACTCTATGCAAAAATCATTTGAATGTATACATTTGAACCAATTGTTTAGTGAGTTATTACCTTTCACCTCTGTGCGAAAATCATACTGGTCCCAATGAACTCTCTCTTATGGGCATATCTTATCTATGGCAACTATTATTACTTGTGATTTATAGATATTAAGTCACTTGAAAGAAAATTTGGCCTTTCAGTCACCATTGGTCAATTTGCCACTTAATGCAGGGAACAGCAATAGGGAAGGGCATGGAAATTGATTCCTCACCAAACTGGGCTCAAGCTTATGGTGGGACTCCTCCAGCAACACTCTTCTCTACTGCAGCATCATCAGGATTCGCTAACGCAACCTTTACTTCTTCCCCGGCTGCTCCTCGGCTACCTCATTTCTCTAGTGGAATGTTACCTTACCACCATTCTTCACCTCCTATTCCAACTATGAACAGCACTGCTCACTTTTGCTGCCGGAGCTGAAGTCAACAGGTAGTCGGTTACTGCCGTCAATTCTTTCCTCCCTTAGTACTCTGAAATTAGGTAAGAGCAAAATGAACAATGACTGTTTTGGTAAGCACAAACAAACCGGGTTTTGGTTTCTAACTACGCATACAAGGCCATGTGCTGCTCTTCTCTGTTTTGAGTGATTTGTAAGACTGCATACAATAGCTTTAATAGTGTAAAAGCTCAAGGTTTTAGACTACATCAGAATGTTTGATAGGGTGCGACTGGTGCTCAAATTCATCTTTGCCTTTACATTTCTGCCTGCTGCACTAAACTCCGAAATGTTAATTCTGTGGCTTTTTCCCCTTTAATATGAAAGTATGAAACTGTCCAATTTTATTCTTGAAGTGCCTTGTTAATCTTTCATTGCCGTATTTTATTTTATCTAACTTTTTTATTGTTTGGACTAACGCCCTCCACGTCGCCCCCTACTTTGGAAATGGTTAATTATAGTTTTTGTATTTTCCCATGGTAATGCCACATGTGAACAGTAGCATACTGTGCACTGGGATTTCCTAAATCGAAAGTACCATCCGGAATCCTCGGCTTTTACTTTAGGATTCAGGCACCCGCAGAAACATAGTAGTGAAAAGGAGGTTTATCCGTATACTGTTAAAAGCCTCCTGCCTCTTTGTACACCTTTGCCCGCTCCCCCCCCCCCCCCCCCCCCTCCCAAACACTTATTTGACCCTTTGCCAACCTGAACTAGAAATTTGATGAAAACCATACAATTAAAATGGATTACATTCCAATTTTATCACTTTATTCAAATGATTTTATAGTCTAGTGTCACGAAGTGACTCTTCCAAATGAGAAGTTCATTGTTCGTTTCTGACAGTATTGACTCTTTATGTTTCGGTAGGTTGAAAAAGTAATTATGAACAAATATTATATTGTAACAAAGTCAGTACTCAAAAAATACAAAAAAAAAAAAAAAAAAAACTTTACAACATTAACTTTCGCATTTTACCTGTTAGTTTGATAATCACAATATTTATTTTAAATTTAACTATTATTAAAAACTGTCTTACTGTCTATAATCATATTAATTTAAACAGACCAATTATAAATAATTTAAATTTTTTTTGAATACATAAATAATTTAAATTAATTTACCTTATTTATCTTTTTAACAACCTCAGTACAAAAATGGGGTTTGGTTACATCAGTGAAACCGTTCATGGTGTTGTCAAATCAGATAAGCATTGGACAGTCTAATAACTATAGACAGAAAATGATGGCAGAAGAAAATGGCATGCAACCGATTTACAAAATTATGACATATTATAAATACAATTAGCCGATTTAAACCGTATGATTAATACCAAAAGAGTATGGAAAACGATTGGACGTGACGAACTAAATAATGTGAGTTTGGAAAAACTTTGTTTAGTGTGTTGGACAGCTCACACTGAAAAGTGACAGTGGCCACGTGTAGGTACGAGGTAAGCTGCGTGACACAGGCACAGTAATCTCTGAACAGCTGCTTCTTTGGAACCACATCTACCTAACACTATTCCACCGCTGACCGCCCCATGTTTGCCTTCTTCCCACAACAATTAAAATTGTAAATACTAAATTATCATGGCAAAAAAAAAAAAAAAAACCTTAAAAACAAGATTAATGGTGATTTTTTTTTTATTTTTTTTTTTTACAATTTTTATCAGTTTTTTTTTAAAGAAATGTTGAGTGATCACTCGCTGGTGACCAACGCCTAACTAGGCGCACAAGTTATGTCAATTTGTGAGTTGTAATATATACATGTATTTTTCTAATTTTGAAAAAATTTATCTTCATTTTGAAATAACAGTCAAACCTTCATTTCTCTTCTTTATCACTAAACTTGTGAAATAAAAATATATAAATGTGTGGTTTAATTATCAGTTTAAAATTTTAATTGAGAAAAGGAAAAATCAAAGTAGAGGGTGTAGGTGAAGTGAGGAAGCAAAGGTGGTGCAGAGTTATTGTAGTGGCCCATAATGGAAAGCCAAAGCGCACACACATTGCCGCTTATACTAAACAGGCTTGTCAATGGAAGTGAGACAGAGGGCTTTTTGGGTTGAGTAGGTACAGTCTTTTCCTGGGCACGCCACTATGAGACTCGCCGGAGATCTCTCAGATCTTTCCGTGACGCTTTTCAAGGCTGTTTTACCAGCCCAGCCAGCATCATCATGTGCTTGCTGCCTGACACTCCGTATGACAACTCCTTCCCTCTTTCTTTCGCAGTCGAATGTCTTTCGGTTTTGGAGGTTTTGCTCTTTTCCACATTGGTATTACCCATGTACCCATCTACCATCATCCCCTTCAACATAATCCACAATCCAGTCAAGTTAGTCAAGGTTAGCTATTGATTTAGTAATTATACAATTACAAATTGGAATGTCAATGAGAATAGTCTATTGTCTTTCTTAATTAGAGTTTGATTGGTGTAAGTGGCCGTGCATTCTCCTCCCTTAAAAGAGATTGGGAGTTCAAACTCCCTCTCAAGTATGAAAAAACTAATCTGGCCAGTACTTTATCCCTTAATGGACCGGTCCAATGTAAACGAAGGTTAATTTGAGTATGATATAGGCATAAAGTTTCCTTCTATATGTAGGACTCTGCTCAAGACAGCTCGTGAAATAGAACTAGTCAGCTATATATAATTTAGCTTTTGAAAACAACGACGAAATTGATAAATTATTTAAAACTAGTCAGCTATATATAATTTGACTTTCAATAATTTTTTTGGTATAATAACTTTCAAGTAGTTATAAAATCAATGTTTAATCTTAATTCTAGTGATAGGGTGAAAGTTTAAACATTATTGAGAATTTAATAAGTCACGAGATACTTTGACGATTTAATCGACCACTCTTGTGCATAGAAATATACAAGAGATAAGCAATGAAATTTTGTTTAAATCACTTAGATAACTCTAAATTTACCTCCTTTATAAGTATTGGGATGAGTTATTAAGGTAATATAGGCCCTGTTTGGTAAAATGGCTGTTAGTTGATAGCTGTTTGATGTTAGTTGATTGTGTTAATTAGAGGGTATAAATAGTTGATAACATTAGCTGATTGTAGAAAAGTGTTTGGTAAATTAGCTGTTTGGTATAATTTCTTTTCTCAAAAAGCTAATTGAAAAAGTTGCTAGGAGTAGCTTTTTTAATTTTAGCCTTTTGGAGTTGCAAAAAGCTAATTAACCAAACATTTATATTGATATTTTAACTAAATCAAACAATTAATAGTGATCAAATAAGCCAAAATTGGCCTATAGACCAATTTTTTACCAAACAGGGCCATAGTTTAAAAAGTTGAAGACTGTGTTATATACATTTAAAAAAAGGCATCCTAGCATTAGTGGTCTAGGCATCAAATATGGATAGTTATGCTGTGCATCCGTATGCACCATGCATGGTGCATACGGATGCCAAAACGACGTCGTTTTATTAAAAAACGCGCGTCTTCCCTTTTAAAAATATTCAGGTTCGATTCCCAGCAACAACATTATATTGTTCATTCATTCTAGAATTTTAGTTCATAGATTATGGAATTATAGTTTAATGATTATGGAATTATAATTCATCGATTATGGAATTGTAGTTCATCGTTTATGAAATTTTAGTTTATAGATTATGGAATTTTAGTTCATTCATTCTGGAATTTTTAGTTCATAGATTAGATTATGGAATTATAGTTCATCGAGTATGGAATTTTAGTTCATATGTTGTTGCTGGGAATCGAACCTGATTTTTTTTTTTTAAGGGGAGACGCGCGTTTTATTAAAACGACGTCGTTTTTGCATCTGTATGCACCATGCATGGTGCATACGGATGCACAACATAATTTTCCATCAAATATGCAATGCAGTTTCATTTCAACGCAACTACAGTATCATTTTAATATAACTATAGTTTCGTTGGACAATATATACACTTAAATATGTGAAATTGTTATTCAGTTTCATTTTGTATACACTGCAGTTTTATTTGATAATATAATAAAAATAATACGTGAGACAGTGTCAGTTTAGATACACTATAGTGTCTGTCGTTTTGGACCATGGTCCATAACGCTTTGTGGATCGCGGTCCACAGTATAATTGCTGAGCATTAGCATAGTAGGCTTCATGAGCCGACTCAATTGGGATTAGGCCCATATTAAGGCCTTTGTGATGACAATGGGCTATATTCATTTCTGATGACAATGAGGCCATATTAAGGGCAAATTATGCTGTGCATCCGTATGCACCAAGCATGGTGCATACGGATGCAAAAACGACGTCGTTTTTATAAAACGCGCGTCTCCCTTTAAAAAAAAAAATAGGTTCGAAACTATAATTCCATAATCGATGAACTATAATTCCATAATCGATGAACTATAATTCCATAATTGATGAACTATAATTCCATAATCTAATTTATGAACTAAAATTTTCAGAATGAATGAACTAAAATTCCAGAATCTATGAACTAAAATTTCAGAATCGATGAACTATAATTTCAGAATCGATGAACTATAGTTCCATAATCGATGAACTATAATTCCATAATTCATGAACTAAAATTTCATAATGAATGAACAAAATAATGTTGTTACTAGAAATCGAACCTGAATTTTTTTTAAAAAAGGGAGACGCACGTTTTTAATAAAACGACGTCGTTTTTACATCTGTATACACTATGCATGGTGCATACAGATGCACAGCATAACTATTCCATATTAAGGCCTTTGTGCACTTTGTGGAGTTTTTGCGGACAAAGAAAATGTTCATGATTGGTTTTTGGGCTAATGGGAACGAGGTTTTTAGAGAAACTTTTCTCCTGTAAAATATGATTTTTGTATGAGAATAAAAAATAAAAAAAATAAAAAAATAAAACGAGACATGCATGCACTCAGCGTGCGCGTTTTCGAAACACACTAACTTTTTTTTTTTCTTCTTTCAAATTTATTTATGTATTGTTTTTTTTGGTCAAAGCCCGTTGAACTTCAACGGCAAGTAATTTTTAAAATGTTTTATTTTTTTTTTTGATTGTTTTATTTATATACTATAATTTTGTAAAACAAGATTGTGGTTTACTTTTTGAACAAATAATTTTAATTTTTAAATAATTAATAGTTTAATTTTAATTTTATAATTATCATTTTAATTAAATGTAATTATGTTTATTTTAATTATAAATTTAAAATAAATAAAAATAATTAAAATATGGTATTAAAATTGTAGGTAAAAAAAAAGGAATAAATTTTGAAATTATGTGAGATAATGAATGACACGTAGATAATGGACCCACACAAAATTTGAGGAAAAAATCTCCCTAAAAGGAAAATACTTGGGTGTACTCTAATTTTAAACTCTAAACTTGTACTATTTGAAGAAAAAATCTCCCTAAAAGGAAATTATTTGGTGTACTCCCATTTTAAATTCTAAATTTGTACTCTCTTTCACATGCTCTTGATGTAGACATTTTGCTGTGGACCCGAATGATGAAAATAATCAATCCTAATTTGTCACAAAATATAAATGAGTGACTAAAATTTTAGGAGTCTATAGTAGAAATCTCCTAAAATGAGGTTGCTCTATATGGGAACTAATTATATCACACCAAAAAGTATCATTTTCAAAGATAAAAAGGATAAAACAAAATAAAAGGGGCCCACAGTTGGACAGATTAGTTTCGAGTAATCATGGACTAATCGCCGTCGTCATCACATACGTTTCAGTACACCAGTGTTGATATATAGAATCATAACACCCACACCCGCCGTGAAATCAAGAACGCCCACATTTCCGATTGCCTCGCCGGAGATGGAGGTGATATACATCCTACTGGGAGTGTGCTTTTCAGCGGGTTTGTTGGCGTACGCATGGGGAGTGTTGGGTTGGGTGTGGTTTAAGCCGAAGAAGCTGGAGAAGTGGCTTAAACAGCAAGGCCTCAAAGGGAACCCCTACAGATTCCTCTCCGGCGACATGAAAGACATCGCAAAGATGACGACTGACGCCCTTTCCAAGCCCATGACTCTGTCGGATAACGTTGCCTCGAGAATCATGCCGTATTTTGTTCACCTCACCGACAAATATGGTATGTTTTTTAATGCTTCCCATTCTGCTATGAATTCAATTAAATTCAATGGTGTTTTGCAGGAAAAAACTGTTATGTATGGATGGGTCCAATTCCTACGGTGTTCCTCAGGGATCCTGAGCTAATCAAGGAGGTTTTCAACAAATATGATCTGTTTCAAAAGCCTAAGATGAATCCACTGGGGAAGAAGTTGGTACGGGGACTTGCCAGCTATGAGAAAGAGCAGTGGGCAAAACACAGAAGAATAATCAATCCTGCCTTCTATTCAGAGAAGCTAAAGGTAGTGTGTGTAATGTTTCTCAACTATTCATACACCTATTATATATGTAGCTATTGCATAAGTATTCTAAGTATAGTTAGACTGCACATTTATGTTATATATTATATGCTCAACTTACAAATTCCATTGTAGTTTGTTGTCTTGTCGAATTGATAGTTAGACATATATACAGATGGTGTAAAATAGGAGTGTAAATAAGTTTAGTCGAGCTTAAGTTCGGATTGGCTCGAGCTCGATAGCTTGAGTTCAAGCTCAATCGAGCTTGAAAATTGAAGTTTGAGCTTGGCTCAATTATGAAACGAACTGGCTCGAGCTCAAAATTGACCGAGCATGAATCGAGCTTTGACAGAGCAGTTTGCGAGCTGCTCGGCTATAATTCGACGAGCCACGAATCTAAAACATTTGAGCTCAAGCTCGGCTCGATTACGAAACGAGCTGGCTCGAGCTCGAAGTTGACCGATTTTGAACCGAGCTTTGATCGAGCAGCTTGCAAATCCCTCGGCTCAGTTACACTCTTATTGTAAAAGTTTAGTGGCCTACTAGCCTAGGACCTAGGCTCAAATAGTTTAAATACGCTTTGATAAGGCGGGAATTGTTGCATTACAAACCACAAAATGACCATCATTGACCTATTAAACTTGAATTGCATCACTATATAATGAAAAATGTCACTTGGACCACTGGACTAGATAATATTTTAACTGCTAGAGTTCTTGAATTGCAACCAACAGCTTATGCAACCTGCGTTCTTGCTAAGCTGCTCTGAAATGCTAAGCAAATGGGAGGGGATTGTGTATGGAAAAGGATCATCATCATCTTGTGAGGTGGATGTGTGGCCTGACCTTCAAGGCCTAAGCTGTGATGTGATTTCTCGAACAGCGTTTGGGAGCAGCTACGAAGAAGGAAAGACGATCTTTGAGCTTCTGAAAGAACAAGTCACGCACTTCATGGAATCCGGGCGCCAAGTTTATATACCTGGATGGAGGTAAAATAACAAGAAATAATAAAAGTTTGTGTTATAACTTTCATTAACTTGTAATGAGTTTACTGCAGATTTGTGCCAACGAAGAGGAACAGAAGAATGAGCGCCATCGAGAGTGAAGTGAGATCATCTATCCAGGTTATTATAGAGAAGAGAATGAAGGCAATGCAAGCTGGGGAGACAAACAAACATGATTTATTAGGCATATTACTCGAATCCAACTTGCAAGAAATGAGACATCAGGGGAACAAGGACTGTGGAATGAGCATCGAACAGATTATCGACGAGTGCATGCTGTTCTATTTCGCGGGGCAGGAGACTACTTCCGCGATGCTGGTGTGGACTATGATTCTACTCAGCAGATTTCGGGATTGGCAAGCTCGAGCTAGGAAAGAGGTGTTGCAGGTTTTCGGGGATAAGGAGCCAGACTTTGAAGGCTTGAATAGCCTTAAAGTTGTAAGTAATATTCATTTCATAAATGGTTGATAGAAGCTAGTACTCATCCTGAATCTCGTTCGATTTTGTATTACAGGTGACAATGATTTTGTACGAGTCTTTAAGGCTATACCCGCCAGTATCTAGACTAGTTAGGAGGACCATAGAGGAAACGAAGCTAGGAGAAATGGTTCTGCCATCGGGAGTAGTGCTGACATTACCAATAGTCTTGATGCATCTCGACACCGAAATATGGGGCGAAGATGCTAAAGAGTTCAACCCCGAGAGGTTCAGCGAAGGGATAATGAAGGCAACGACAAATGGGAAACAAGCATTCTTCCCGTTTGGCTGGGGACCTCGAATATGCGTTGGTCAAAACTTTGCTTTGGTAGAAGCTAAAATGGCAATGGCTATGATTCTGCAACGCTTCTCGTTTGAGCTTTCTCCTTCGTATGCACATGCTCCATATCCAAGGGTGACCACTCAACCTCAGTTTGGTGCTCCTCTAATTATGCACAAGCTTTAATATATATGCTTCTTCCCAGTTCTTAGAAATCCACCAATATGTAGGCTTGAACCAAATTTCTATATGTTTTGTACTATGGGAAGTTTACTGCAGACTGAAAGACATTCTTAATTTAATCCGATCAACTTTACAAAATTAACTTTCTGAAACAATGGTTGAATGGATGAAATTATTTATTCAGGATGCATGCAGTGAAAATATAACCAAACATAAATTGACAAGAATGGGAAATGAGCAAATAAGTAGCCCAAAACAAAGATACAACTTTTGTGCCAATGAAATGGCTTTGTGTGGTTAAGACTTGGAGTTTGACTTTCATGATTTTTTTGGTATAATAACTATCCACAATGGTTACTTTTGAACTAGGCCTCCTGCCTTGTCGTGGTACCTCGAATAGTGGCAAATTATGCTATGGACCCGTGTTCATCATGTGCACATTCATAATTTCTATGCTATAAATTTATAATTTTTATACTGTAGATTCATAAAATTTATAATGTAGATTCGTAATTTTTATACTGCACTTTCAGAATTTATGAATACATAATTATTAAATTATGAATTTATAGTACAAAATTTATGAATGTGCAATATAGAAATTACGAATTTACATTTAAAAAAATTAAAAAAAAAAAATTGTACACGTATGCCGGGGTACGGGTGCAACTTGTGGTCCATGTTAGAAAATGAAGAGGTGATATTACGCGGCGCTTGGCCAAGACTCCACAGCATCAAAACCGAACGACGGTGGTCTCCCCCGTTTCCACGCAGAACTCAGACGGCCACGTCTGCTTGTTTTCCTAAGCAGCGCCGCCGCCGCCATTTCCAACACCGGAAAACGCCATACGTAAAATACTCGTAAGTCGTAACACACAGTACATATTGAATCTTATTATTCTTCTTATTACATCTCCCTGAATAGCAATCGCTGCAAGTTATTTCCTATTCGAGCTGAGTCAGTCCGTTAAAACCTTTCTCTCTCATTCTCTCCCTATCTCTATTGTTTTGGTTTGCGTATTAAATGTGGCGTTTGTTGATGCGTGGTTATGTTGAATTAGTGTATATAGGTGTATATGGCTATTTGTAACTATTTATGGTATTTTTAGGGTTTGTAATGTCTGCGAAATTGGAGGGTGTTGATTTGAATTCAGAAGGCGTTTCAGTTGAAGCGAATAATGTGAGTACTGATCAATTAGGAAACAAAACCCCAGCGGAGAATCTCTGTGATCAGGCCCCCTCGTGTGGGGCTTCAGGGGAAGGATCTAGGGTTGTTGGAAATACTGAAACCTCAGACATAGAACTTGATCTAAAAGTGGATAACAAAGAGAGCCAAACTGATTGTGTTCGGATTGCTGGCAGTTCATGTGTTGAAGAGAGTTGTAGTAAAGCTTCAGTTGATTTGGGTGTTGATGATGATGTGGAACATGTTCATAGAAGAGGGGAAGAGGGAATTATGGATTCTGCCACAGATAGGACAGGGATTTGCCATGATATGGATTTAGATACACAGAAAAACTCCGTGGATGAAGTGGTTTCCATAAATGGGAGTGGGAATAAAGGAACTGAGAGTAGAGATTATTTAGATGACGAAAATGCAACTGTAGCAGTTAACTGTGAGAGTGATGCTGCCACTTATATTGAAGAGGCTGGTTTAAATGGGGACCCACAAATGGTAAGTGAAGGGAAGTTGATGGACATGAAGCCCGAAGATGCTGATGGAAAAGATGTTAAGTATGCTGCTTCGAATATAGAAGGATGCGTGCAGGGATCTATATCAGAGGAAGAAGGAGAGTATAGTGTGAATGATCTTGTATGGGGCAAGGTGAGTGGTCATCCTTGGTGGCCAGGGCAGATATTTGAATCTTCTGCTGCATCACGGAAAGCAATGAAGTATTTTAAGAAAGATAGCCATCTAATAGCCTACTTTGGGGATCATACATTTGCATGGAATGATGTGTCTCGACTAAAACCTTTTAGGATGCACTTCAATCAAATGGAGAAACAGTGCAATACAGAAGCCTTCTGTCATGCCTTAGATTGTGTATTGGATGAGGTCTCTAGAAGAGTTGAATTTGGTTTGTCTTGCAGATGCGTGCCAAAGGGGGTGCGAGTTAAATTTAAAACCCAGAATGTGGTCAACCGTGGCATTCGAAAGGAATCATGTCAAAGAGATGGTGGTGACAACTTGTCAACGGCATCCTCTTTTAGCCCTGCTGTACTTTTTCAACATTTGAAGTCCTTAGCAACCTCCCAGCGTGATGGTGTTGATAGATTGGGGTTTGTTGTGACAAGAGCTCAGTTGCTGGCTTTCAATCGTTGGAACGGTTATGATAAGCTATCTGCACTGGGAGAATGTGATGGGTTGTTGGAGAATGATGCTGACATACATGTGTCGCAAGGTAGGGAAGAAGAAGTTCCAGGTTGGTCTGAGGATGATAGAGTTCCTTCTGGAAGTGATAAGGAAACTGCCACAAAGAGTACTTCAGTGAAGCGTAGACTGTACCCTGAGGATAATGAGGATATGGCAAAGAAGGTAAAATTGATATCTGGTAGTGGCAAGAACAGTAAGAAAAAAACTGATAGGAAAGTAAACATTCTGTCTTCTGATAATAAGCACAAAGCAAGCAATCTGGTATCGAGTGACAAAAAAATGAAGAGAATAAAAACATCTAAGCCACCTGAAACTGGTAATAACCAGTCTATACAGTCTAAGAAGCTTCTTGGGATAGGAGAGCGTATACAGAGGGCTGCAATTCAACTTGGTGGATCAACTCCAGTTCTCAAGTCTCTGGCAGAGTTCCCTCCTGTTGAGGAGATGCTCTTAAAGCTCTCTTTGGCTGCCAAAGATCCCATGAATGGGTATAGCATGCTGGTTCCATTTAGTAGATTTTTCTGTGATTTCAGGAATTCAACTTTGGAAAATGCCGAGTTACATGATCCTGGAGAGCAAGCATTATCAGAAGACCCTGAGGACGAGAAGAATACTTCCATTGGTGAATTGGACGCAGTTGTTGCTACCAACCCAACCACAGAGAAACAAGAAAAAGACAGCATGGTTATGCAGTCAGAATCTGAAGATCCATCTGGCCATGTGGATGTGAAAGAAAAAGGCAGTGAGGTTATTGATTCAGTATCCAATGATCCATCTGGTCATGTGGATGTGAAAGAAAAAGGCAGTGGGGATGTAGAGCCAGAATCTGATGATCCATCTGGTCAATTAGATGTGAAAGAAAAAGGCGGTGTGGATATGGAGTCAGAATCTGATGATCCGTCTGGTCTTGTGGATGGAAAAGCCGAGGAATCCACTCCAACCGCACTGATTCTTAACTTTCAAGATCCGGAATCTGTTCCTTTGGGAGCAGATCTCAACAAGATATTCAGTCGCTATGGCCCTCTCGACGAGTCCAAGACTGAAGGCCTGGGCAAGACCAAGTGTGCAAAAGTCGTCTTCAAGAGGAGCTCTGATGCTGAGAAGGCTTTCAGCAGTCCTGGCAAATACAGCACTTTTGGCCCTTCACTTATTAGCTACCGCCTCTCCCGTGTTTGAAAGAAGGTACGCGAAGTGATCCAAGATCTGCAGCAGTCAATGGCATTTCAAGGGGACTGAGACATGTTAATAGTTCTCTGTGCTTAGTTACTTTTGTAGCATAGTAGCATATTCATAGTCAAACAGTTAGATGCTGTTCACCTTGCCATTACATGCACATTGATGAGGTTTAGCTACTGACAAATTGGTTCACTTGTTGCTATAGAAAGCTTCCCACTAGAATAATACAGCTGACCATCATTATGACTGTTATTTGTTGGATGTGTATATATATTAACCATAGGATAACACAAAATAAGTACTAGAAAAGGGGTCGGCAACTTGGCATGACCCCTTTTGGGAAGTCGGGTTAGCTCAATTGATTCAATCAATTATCTTAAAATCTTGCAGTGTGAGAGTTCTAATCAGTTAGTTCAAATCAGAGTTACAAACAAAAGTGGAAACTTGAGGAGATGACTTGCAATTTACTATTTAGTCTAAGTGTAAGATTAAATAAGGAACAAATAATAAAAAAATTATTATTTCCCCCATTTAGAATTAAATTCTTATTTAGAACCTGTAAATCCTTAATAACTTGGATAAGCTAGACCTAGAGATCAATAAACAAAATTCCAGTGCAGATTTGACTATAAAGTAGCCCATTAGCATTAACAGTAACACAAAATGAGAGAACACTGCAACTTGATTTAGATGAATATTTTAATTAAATAGACAACAAAATTCGAGTACAGTAAATAGATAGGAAAGTTTTAACCAAACAAAAACTCGACACAACAAAAAGTTCATCTCTATTGTTATCATCAAACTAAGATGCTCAGGAGGATTCCACAATCTAAGATCTTGGTTTCTCCTTTTTCTCCTTGAAGAGAGCCAGGAGAGAGACTCCAGAAACCTTCACAACCTTGAACCTAACACCGGGGATATCTCCCACGGCGTGACCCTTCCTACCAAATCCAGCAATCAACACCTCATCCTACAAAGTAATAACACAGAAAAGGTTAGATGAGAATCATTACCAAGCAGGAGTGGCATGTAAGAATTGGAGTAGGAGAATGAGATTACATTTTCTTCGATGTAGTTCAAGCAACCATCATTCGGGACAAATGCAGCAATTTTCTTCCCGTTCTTGATGAGTTGAACCCTAGCACATTTACGAATGGCAGAGTTTGGTTGTTTGGCCTCAATACCTCTGCACACCGGCAGACAAGCAATTATGTAAGGATTAGATTGTGAATTCCACACCCAAAAAAAGTAAATCAAAATCTCAGAAGTGGATTTACATCTTTTCAAGCACTATGCCTTTAGCATGGGATGAACCAGCAAAAGGTTTCTTCCATTCATTTCCAAGATGGGACTTCTTATAAGCCTTGTCAGCCCACCTTTGCCTCCTACGGTGGGACTTCAACTTGCGTCCAGCTCCCATACCACGTGTCTTCCTGCAACATTACAGAAAATATGTAAAAAACAATCTATTTGACAGCTTCAGCCTGCAGACATTCATACACCATGCTGCTAACTCTTGCAAAAACAAGGACTGGGGCAGCTACAACATAACTTAGCAACACAAACTAGAATCATTACTATTTATCATGCTATCAAGAATTCCACTGAAATTAAGATGATCAGATTTGGACTATCCCATTCCCTATAGTAAAAGATTTAGTTAATTTAATGCAAACTTCTGCCTCAAAACTCTAGATCTCCTCAATAGTCAATACATATCATTCAACCTACATATACAAACATTACCTCACTATCCATATTTAACATGCCAACTGCTTCTTAAACACTTTCAGCGTTATCAGAAAATACCATGAAAGGTAGCACAAATCATATTTCTGAAACATAGAATTATCCCCTAAACTAAAAAAGCTTTTAGATATAAGGTAATATATTGTAGACACATCGGGGACACGAATTTCTCAACTATGAAGCCTAAACGAACTAAATAGCAACTCGCCATTCGTATCAAATCAAAAGTTGAGCCATTTCGATACAGAGAAAGTGGAATATACTGAAAACATACCCCATGTTTGCTGAGTGAAGAAAATTCCGGCTTCGGAGAAGGGTCTGAGGAGGGAGATGCTATGCAGCCGCTTGATAAAACCCTAAACCTAATCAATTCGTAGGAGATTATATAGTCCACGCTTGAAGATTGGGCCTGATTGGTCAGCCCATGTTTTGATTTTTTGGGCTTATATTATTGTCAGATTGAGGTGCACAATATTGTCAACATGGACCTGGGCCCACATTGCAATGTGGAGTTGTGGACTTGGGTCTAAAAATACGCAATTTACATACTGAATGTTCACAATTTTACATGCTAACTGTTCACAATTTATATACTAAATGTTTATAATTCTATATAAATTGTGTATTTTAGACTCGGATTCACCTTGCAAGGTGAATCGGGTATGGTATAAGTGTTGGGTTAAATAATCTAAATTTAAATGGTAATACTTTTGTGATTTTTTTAATTAAAAATGAATATTTTACTACACCTTTTTGTATTTTTTAAATGTTTATTTTATTTTATTTTATTTTTTGCATCACATTGCATTCATATATGTATGTGTGTGTACATATGCATATATCATATTAAATATGAAAAAAAAATTATAATTGTACTCCTACCTCTAAAATGAATATAGACATTCATATGATAGCAATTTTCTAACAAGAAAGCAGAGAAAAAAGTACGGGATATAACTAATCTAATGAACTCAAACTATTTTTAAAAATGATGAAATTAATTTTTTCAATAAAATTGTTGAAGTACATAAAAATTTTGGAAAATTTTACAATACAACACAGCGTGACGCCGTAATCCAAAAATACAAAGTTGCCTACTACTTATTCTCTACATACTTTTTTCTTATTGCACGAATTTTTATTATTATTACAAACTATTCAGTCCTCTTATTTTATTTTTGTATTACTACGTCACGCCTTACAATAATAGAACATTTAATTTGTTACAAGGAAGGCTCCAAACTGTTGCCTATTAACTAATGAAAGAAACCACTCTTCTGTTTTATTGCAACCTGCAAAATGTTTATTTTTTCCATCTATTTCTGACCTTTTTTGAGAAGCACTCCAATCTTCTTCAGCATATTCCCATTCTTCTTCTTGGGGGAGTCATCTTCATTGATGTCATCAAACAATGGTGACCCCATCAGCTTCCCATTGTTGCCTGTTGATGATGACAGCATGGCGGCAGCCGCCTCGACGGCTTTTCGCCACTGATTGTTCTGCACTTTCAGCCTTCTCAGCTCAGCCTGCAGCTCCAGATTTGCAGCCTGGGCAGCTCTCACCTGTTCATCAATCGTCGAGGATGATTCTTGTTCGGGGGGCGAAACAAGAACATTGCTATTCTTGGATAATTCCCTGTCCTGGATTTCTGATTTCAAGAATGTGTTCTCCTCTGCAATGCATTGGAGCTCGGTTTCTTTGTCCAGCAGGCATGCTTTTAGCTCTGATAAAGCCATTTCTGAGTTCTTGAGCTCTGCTTCGAGTTTCGATGACTCCCTTCCCATTGACAGTTCCTTCTGCAATGATTCGATTTCGGATTTTGCTGCTTTTAGTTTGGCCTGCAGGTGTGTTTCCCTCTGCGATGATTCTGATTTTGCCTTCTCCAGTAGCTCATAGGCAGTCCTGATCTGCAGAGTGGTTTGAATGTACTCTTCTTGGTACCTTCTCTCTGAGCTCTCCAATGCTGATCTTAGCTCATTAATCTCTGCTTTCAAATCTTTGCTCTCAGTTTCTTGATTCTTTGATTGCTCCAATTCCAGTTCAAAAGCCATGGATTTGCATGATTCCTTCTAGTAATTCATTTCAACCAAAGTACTTAATAAACTTATACAACCTATTAATATATAAAATATATAATAATAATTTTCAAGAGTTAATGTCATCTAAGGTCCTCCAAGTTTGATGGTTTCGTCACGTTTAGTCATAAATTTTCAAATCGACCACCCATGGTCTTCTGAGTTTCAAATTTCGACTTGCTGTAGTCTTTTTGTTAACATATGCCGTCTGCGCCGTGAAAAGTAAGGACAAAAAAGTCTTTTTATTTTCAACCCAGCCAAAACAATGGATTTCCCTCAATATTTAGCTCTAATCTTCGATTCATACGTCTTCTTTAGCCATAATCCAATATTCGTACGACTAAAGAAGAAGTACGATTCAGAGATTATGGCTAAATCTTGAGGGAAATCAGTTGTTTTGACTGGGTTGGGAAAAAAAGACTCTTTTGTCCTTACTTTTCACGGTGCAGACGACATATGTTAATAGAAAGATTACGACATGTCGAAATTCAAAAGTCGAAGAACCTCGATTTGAAAGTTTAGAACTAAACGTGATGAAATCACCAAACCCAAATGACCTTAGATGACATTAACTCTAATTTTCAAATAGGTCACTGAATTGTACACAAATATGTAATCTAAGTCATTAAATTAAAAAAAACTGCAATTAGATCATTGAACAATTCAAGATGATGTAGTCCAACTTAAATTGACATATTTAACCAATCAATGCTGATGTGGCAATTAATTTATTAACAATTTAAAATTTTATTAATTTTAAATTAAAATCATACTCCCATTTTTTAAAAAAATTAAACATTACTCTCATTGGCCAATCAAATAGGTCAATTTCTATTTTTTTCGTTGATTTTAAATTATTTAAACAGTTTGTTAAATTTTATAGCCCAATCATATATTCACATGGAGTTCAATGATCTATTTGAACATTATCCTTAAAATTTATTATACAAACAAAAAAAAAAAAATCTTACAGCTTTAACAACGTCGGCGCGCAGCGTCTCCTCTGTCAGCCGTGCCACCTCCAGCTGCATCTGAGCTTCACTGAGTTCTTGCCGAGCTTTTGCTGCCGATTCCTTGCTATCATTCAACTCAGCTTTCAAATCATCAACCAATTCATTCGTCTCCGCGAGTTCTAATCTCAAATGATGAATCTCGCCGTGCCTCGCCTGGGCGGCCAATTCGGATCCAGTTACTCTCTCGAGCTGAGCCTTGAGCTTCTGGATTTCAGCCATGGCGGACGATAAAGCTGCGGAGTCGAGTTCATGCTGTTTCTGCAGGGCTTCCAGCTCCGATTGCCACGCGCGGTCGCGGTCCTGTGAGATCTTGCGCAGTTCCTGCAGGCGAGCTTCCTCGGAGTCCGAGAATTCCAGGAGTTGCTTCTCGGACTCCTCGAGCTTCTCGGACATGGCGGCCAGCTGCTTCTTTGTGTCTTCTACCTCGCGCTGCGCCTTCTTCTTCAGTGATTCGGATGAACTAATCTGCTCTCTTGCCTTCTTTAGCTCCTCTTGCAGTTCAACAAGCTGAGCCTGTATTAAGTAAATTTAAATCAAGAAAATTAATATGTCATAACTGAGATGGTTCCAAGCAACACCGCTTGGGTGACGTAGAGATTCGAACTCATGACCTTTTGGTCTGGTTCAGATACCAAATTAAAGTATGTGTTCTATTTCAATTAAAAGCCTAAACTGATAGTTGAATTGCTCAACACTACAACTACTCAACTGCCATGAAAATAAATGAAAGGGTACCTCAGATGCAGAACTTTGTGGAGATTGTCTGTCATTTCCTTTCAAACTCCTACTCTTTGGATTCGTGCTAATTGGATTAGGAGATGCAAAAGAATCAGAATCAGAACCTGCTGTAATCTTGAGCTTTCGACCCGCCCGGGGAGCAGCAACAGATGATCTTTGCTGCAGATCCTTAGAAGCAGTTCTGCAGCATCATAAACACAGAAAAAAATAAGAACTAAACCAAACCAAATCACCTTCTGGTTCACCGGTTTTTACAATTTCTGCTGTAAAATCAACGCATAATGAATCACCTTGCTTTTGGGGTCTGCATATTTAATCCTTTTCCAGGAGTAAAATGAAAAATATGATGAAACGAATTAGACTTTCTTGATTCGAAAGACCCCACACCAACTGAAATGTTTTTGAACAAATCCTGATCAGGCTAAAGAAGTGCATAATACAAAGAAGATTTCCATGATTTCATGAAGCTTCTCTGCATCAACTTGGCTTTAATCCAAATACACAGATTGCAAAACCAACTAAACCAACAAATTGCTTCAAAGAAACTCCATGGAAACCACCTCCACTCCCACCAACCGAACCTACAACATAAGACCAAGAAACCCAATAATAAAGCTATGGAATCAAATGACAAAACATATGTCAAGGACGATCCCAGTTAAATTAGTCAGACTGTTGGCCGATAACCACAAAACGGTTTCAAGTTCGACTCTCAGTGGGTACGGTCTTCTTAATTTGAACTGATGAACTATGAACAACTGATTTACCTTTTTGTAATTCTTTGGTGGCTAAGATTATAACACGAGATTTATCCAGATGTCATTAATAAAGCCATCCTTTTCTTGTTTTTGCTGACTTCTTTTCTACTCCTTTTTGTTGTAGTGTGTTGCAACTACATTGTGGGCAACACTGTGTAGGGTGATGATAACAAATATGACCCATTTTTTACAGGATATCTTTCAAAATTTCCCAATCAACAGACTAATCATACTGCTTTCTAATCACTACCAAGATTAAAGTGATGCCCAGACTGGATCTTGCTTATTTTATTTCACTATATTAATATGTTTCAAAGCAATTAAGCAAGTTGGGAAAGGACTCCAAAGTTGCTTTTGGGTTTGGGTTTTCAATGATACACATAAAGCACTTTTTTGCCCTTTGTTCTTTACTGTAAATAAATCCGCTCCTCCAATTTACTGCAAACAAAGGGTATTTTTTCTTTTAAGAATTATAAAAAATAAAAAATAACACTGGCATCCATGAGTTTTATTAATATATTGGTTTAAAATGTCATTTTGAATATAATTGAGAAACTAAAAAAAATTAACTTCACAGATTATTGATTATTGAATGGCGAGAAATGATGATAATATAATTAAATGTTATTTCTCTATAATTTAAAAATAAAAAAGTATCATTTTTATTTTAGTGTGGTGCATTTTGAGGTTATTTGTAATCAGAATTATTACTTTTAGTTGCCTTTTTGTTTTTAGCTTTTTTTTTTCCTAGTCTTTCTTGTTATTTCAAGTGTGGGCTCTCAACCCTCTTGAGAGCTATTTCTTTGTTTCTCATCATCTTCATCCAATAAAAGTTTATTTACCTTATCAAACTAATAGTCATAAATAATTAAATTTTTATGTTTTTCATTATGAAGAAAAGGGAATGCTAACCAGAAAATAAGAAAAAAGAAAATGAATGCTAACTAAAGGTACAAAAATTTTATATAGGATTCATAATGCAATATGAACCATGATCTATGGTATAACGATTGCAGCATTTTAAGCACAATTTATAACCTTTTCAATGTAAAATTAAAATATAGACATAATTTAAGACTTCTAGTTTTGTTCCCTCTTATAAGGGTCAGGGTGTGGGGAGATGATACAATCTTAATGTATTACTTCTAACTAGGGTGTGGGGAGATGATACAATCTTAATGTATTACTTCTAACTACTATGTTGCGTTGCTATCAGCATTGTTGCAAAAATCGCTAAGGCGCTAGGCGGCGGCCAATCACCGAAATTAGTGATTTATGCGGGTCGGGCGACCTAATTGTCTAGGCAGTCGGCGATTAACTATTGTTTCTTCTTTTTTTTTTTTTTCTTTTGAATTTTTTAAAATGTGTTATTTCTCTCAAAACGACATCACAAAAAATCCTAAACATTTCAAATTGGTTGCAAACTCATAACATTTAAAAAAAAAAAAAGAAGTTAAAATCATCTTCTTTAATATTGATGTGGGCGTTATGACTTTGTGAAATTATATTTTGATTCTTATAATTCTATTTATATTTTAGGTTAATATATAATATTAACTATTAAAGTATTAAATAGTTTATAATTATTAAAATCTTCAGAAAAATTTTAAAAAAACGCTTAGCGATTTTTGCAACCTTGGTTATCAATGTATCAAATTTAATAATCACTAATTATGATTTTATATAAATGGCAAATATTCAATATAATGTATTAAATTTAGTAATCTCTAAATATGATTTTATATAAATGGCAAATATCAATTGAAGGATGTGTTCCATATGATAAATTAATAAAAAGCAAAATTATAGTGAGATTACATATTTATGTCATATTATATGCTCGAGAATACCCAATAATCCATAATTCGTTATATTCGAAATTTAATCTCTAAATATGACTATTTTTGAATGACAAGGAAATTTGTCGTCACTATCCGAGAGTATGCACTCAGTAAACCATGCTCATGTGTAATACTTCACACACCACATAAGAGAATTAATATGGGTCCAACCGAGAGGGGTGTCGACAAGAACCGAACTCGTTTTAGATTCAAATATAAATATATCTTTAAATATGATTTTGATTTTTTTTTGAATAAATAACCAATGTAAATGCTAGCATTATTAGGGTAATGATATTAAAGTAAGGCAGCATTCAAAAAAAAAAAAATATTAAAGTAAGGCAAATCAACATAAACGTGAATATGCTTAGTTGTTCATAGGATAAACATGGAAAGTTGTTAAATTCCAACATAAATCTTGACACTGATTTAGATGACAGCTCCTCACTGCCTAATGCACTCTCATTCCTTACAATCTAAAACCCATTTCCAATCTTTTTCAAATTTTCAAATCTCCAATTTTTCCATTAATGGATTCATTCCTTTTGATACTATACAGTACTATATATGTATATATAGAGAGAAAAACACATTCTTCTCTAGAGTGAAAGAAACAGCGCAGCAGCTAGCGGTACGAGAATAATGTCGGAAAAATGTCTGATGATGACTTCTCTAGCATTCCTGGCATGCCACCCGAGTTCCACCATTAGATGCTTTAAGCCAAGGCCGAGTGTGGTGGTTTCCCCAAAAAGGGAAAAGTCTGTTTCATCAGAAGACTATCATCAAAACCCTAAACCCCATGAAAGCTTGGATTCCCATGCAAAAAGGGTTTTCTCCCTTCCAAGGTTGAAAGAGATCAACGTACCCTTTAAGCTCCTGGAAGAGGTTGTTGAAGGGGAGGCGTTATTGGGCGTTGTGGAGGCGGTTTTTAGGACGGGATGGAAGCGCAATGGTGGTGGCTACACGATCCGAAAAGTGTTCAGAGTGAACCATGGAAGCGGAGTTTATGAAAGGTTTGAAACGTACAGAAAGGCTGTGAAGGCAAAGGGGGTGTTGTGGGGTGATGGGAATGAGGTTTTGAGGTATAGGGGCACGGCCATTACGTGTTCGTTAGGGGTCAGTCAATTCATGGGCACCTGTAATCGGAGAAGTTGTGGGGTTTGTAGGATTATTGGCCATAATAACAGCAATAATGCTGCAATGGATATGAGGCCTGTGACACTGTCCAAGACTAGCTGGAGGGCTCACAGAAGAGCTGAGAAATGTCGGGGCGGCCGAGATGATAGCAAGAGGGCCATTGTTGTGTGCAGGGTGATTGCAGGCCGAGTTGCTCGTTGCTGCAATGGAAGTATAGTGAATGGGGAAGAAGATAATGGGGAGTTTGACTCTGTGGAGAACATGGATGGCTCTGAAAAGCTTGTGGTTTTGGACTCCAGGGCTATATTGCCATGCTTTGTGGTTTTGTATAATGTCCATTGATTTAGTTGCATAGAATGAGTTTTGTTTCAGAATCACTCATCAAAGGATTAGACTTTTCTATTGAAGCATAGTTCTTGTATTTCCAGAGCATTTCTGTTTGACAACCAAGTTTAAGTTTAACTCAGTAAGAGCGATCTATTAATCTTTTTGGTTTGAACCGATTAGCTATATGTAATATAGGTTGATTTATTCTTCTTTTGGTCTTTACCAGTTAAAGTCGGTTTATTCTCCTTTTGGTCTTTACCAGTTAAAGTCACAAACCAATTTGGTCACAGACTATTAACCTGATAGCCACAAGGTTAAAAGCTCAACTCCCAATGTGAACAACCTTTTAGTCTTCTTGATTTGGACCGATAAACTATGGACACCTCGACTGATTTATCCTTAGTCCTTTGCAGACTAGGATCACAAGATAAGGTTTATCTACTGCACACTCTTGAATAGTTACTACGAGTTTCACACGTCACTCAAACAAAAAAAGGCTCATCTTATAAATTTACAATTTATCAAAAATTTCAAAGAGTTCTTCCATGTTAGCAGAGATAAGATTAGCATCTATAACTTTACAATCTATCATCCTCAGGTGATTAAGAGTTGTGCTTTGTGCTAACCCAATTTTCAAGTTCTGTAAATATGGTGATATTTGTGCTGGAAAAAGCCAAACTCTCAGATGTTTCTCAGATTCTGTAACACTGATATGTATTCTACCAAAAATAGTTCTTCTGCTATCCCTCCATGATTCTTGGTTCAAATATAAGACCTGATGTTTTCTTGTAGAAGCTCTTAATTGCAGAATTCTGATATTGTGGACATGTTGAACACCTTAATAAGATCATGAGATCATGTTTCTTGAAGCAAGTTTGTCCCCGAGTATTGTAACCTTCCATGAATCCGCTTGGAGCATAAAAACAGAAAGCTTCTTGGGCACAACTGCAGTTTATACATTATGCATATGAGAAGGATTATGATGGCAAGGGAAAAAGTTCTGCTTTATGCAGAGAGAAATAGAGAGCACACAGTCAAGTATGTCCACTCTCATTTCATGTATCAGGGAGTTAAGAAGATGGGAAACTTCATTAAAGTTTATTTTTATGCATAGGGTAAATTTTCAGCAAACAATTGAACGCTAAATTGGGAGAGGGGAACCTTTGAATCTATTGTCTTCTGTAATTATTCCAAATGTTTCTGCAGTTTCGCGGATCATTATACCATTTAGTCCAGTATAGCCATCTAGCTTGCAATGAGCAACTGAAAAAAAAAAAAAAAAAAGGAGAATTATCAACAAGCATAATGCAAATCAACAAAAGACAGTAATTTTATCATCTTTTTCGCTCAAGATGAAGCGTATAACTCAACCTAGAATGAGTGCACCATGCAAGTCTGCATTCAGGAGACATTGTGACAACTGGTTTTTCCTGCAAGGTGGGGTCCAGTGGGTCAAGTAGTACGAGGTTGGAAGATTCAGTAACAATGGATTGACGAGAAGAAGTGCAGTATTTGGTAAAAAATGTAGTACTCCAGAGAGTTTTAAGAAATAGTTACCCGACACTTTTCACAAGTTTATCTATATAGCACTTCCACATTTCATGCATTTGTTTGTAGATCTCGTACCTAGAAAGTAAACAAAGGGCATTAGAGAAAAGAAAACGGAGTGTATGTAAAACTTGAAATCTAACTTTTTTGTTCAAAATAGCAAATTCTTGACCTCAAGTCATTGAGGTACACAACCCCAAAGAAATCAAAAGATAAATTCTTCAGTAAGAAAGTACTAAACTCACTTGTGAAGCTCCGGAGGCAAATCAAATGATCTACATTTTTTGTGTTGCTTTAGTGACATATGCTTTTTGGATCGTTTTGAGCAGCTCTTTAAAGCCCGCAAGCTAGCACTACTAGACATGCTACTTTTGTGCACAACATTATCAAGAAGAATATAGTTGTCAATTTTCACGCTTTTAGAACCATGCATGTATTTTTGGGCTGAATCACCATGTTGGAGAAGCTCGTGCAGTACATAATCAACTGTGCTTTTACTATTAGAAACCTATACCAACCAAGCACTTCGTTAGAAAATGCAAGAAGCCATTCCTAACCTCTAACAAAAGAACATTTTTAGGATCATGTTCCTGACAGTTAAATCTAAGGGTGTGTTTGGTTGGTGGGTTTTGCCCATAGGAATGGGTATGAAAGTGATTGTTGTTGTTTGGTTGATAGGTTTTTATAACACACTACTATGGGTTTCGAATACCCCATCAATTGAAAAACCCATACCCAAATAAAATAAGGGTTTCATTCCCTTATTCATTAACAAGCACTATTATTAGTAACCATTCTCATTCCACCCTACTATCAAACATATTAAATACTTTCACCAAAACCCATTACCATTACCAAGTATTTGATACCCATTCCGATTATGATTCCTATGTGCGAACCAAACAAACCCTAAATTAAGGGGGAATATTACCTCGCTAACGGTTGATAGAAGATTCCCGTCAACAGAATGAGAGAGCTGAAAGTATGCTGGGTGGTTCGCTTCTACATCTGTTGCATTATTACAACATAAACTAAATGATCCCCAACAAAAAACATACTCTCATGTGTATCTCAAAATGAAAACATAAAAGTTTGAATTAGAATTGTACCTTGTAATGAGGATTGACCTAAAAATGAAACGTTACCTAGAAATAATAATGAAATCAACAAAAATCAGATGCATGGAAAATTAAAACTTTTACAAGTTTATGCTAAGTAAACACCAGAAACATAAACCCCTTCCCCAACATTATCAGATAACAATTACTAACTGAAACTACTGCCTATAGAATAAAGAGGACACTCAATTTAGTCCTCGACTATAGTGGTTTTTCTCAATTTAATCCTAAACGAATTTTTTGTGCTTGGGTAAACCCATCAAAGTTGAGGACCTAATTAAGCACAAAAAGTCGTTTAGGACTAAACCGAGAAAAACCACTATAGTCCATAACTAAATTGGGTATTAACTCTTATAGCTACCATTATACTCTGCTCCTCCATAGCTAAATTACATTATCAGATAAAATGTGGAGCACTACCTGCCTAGATAATGTCAAACTGTAATGTCAACCTTATTCCAACCTCCATAAAATTACAGGTTCTAAAACAGCAAATAGTACCACACAAATAATGAAACACATCAGAAATCCAATCTTTACATGTAGTTAAGCAAATTTGGCTTATACTAAACAAATAATTTTTTTTTTTTTAAACATTCTCAATCTTTATATGTAGTAAAGAAAATTGGCTTAAACTAAACTTGCATTAGGGCACACAACAACAGAAATTGCCAAGAATTATTTTAATATTAAAAAAAAAAAAACGAACCTTTTCTAGATGGGGTATTTGAAATCGAGGGATCAGAGGAAGGAGGTCGATTAGTAATGTGAGAAGGAGTTTTGTTTCCTTGAGGAGTAGTGGCGATAAGAGTTCTTTGCTTCTTGTTGTTGTGCTCCTGTTGACGGCGGAGGTCGGCTTCAGCTCGTGCGAACCTCCGTTCCAACGCCTCCAGAGTCCGTTTCCGTTGCTCTTCGGGAGCCTTGTCCGTCGCCATAGCTCAACTGTGAGGACCGAGTAGTGTTAACCCAAAAGAAATTTAGATAAATTATAGGCCTAATTTATCTAGAAACCTGCACTCTTGCGGCTCGCGACCACCGTATGTTTGTTTTGTTTTTGTTTTTATTTTTGTTTTGTTTTTAAAAAAAATTATATAGTATGTTTTTGTTTGGTATTGTACGCATGCAATATACATACACGATACAATAACACAAATTTCGAGTTTTTTTTTTTAAAAAAAATAAGGGTCAAATAAGTCATCGAATCACACATAATAATGCAATTAAACCGAATAAAATGGAGACGAATTCATGGCCGAAGCCGGCAGAGGCACTCTATTTTTATTATTATTTTTTTAATTTTAAATAATAATTTTTAAAATTTTAAATTAGAGATGACTTACTAGAAATTTGAAAACTCTATAAATTTGACTAATTGCATGAAATTGGTGGCAAGGTGTCTCGATCGGAGGAGGGAGATCTGGCCGGAAAAAGAGGCAGTTGTCCAGGCGGCGACCGAACTTCAGCCCTAGGCTCGCAACACTGTTCCGATGAGGCATGCGGGCTTGGTTTGGGTGAAAAACAACAAGGCAGGAGCTGGAATAGTGAACAGCCGAAAAAAGAGGCAGCTATCCAGGCGACGACGGTGGCGCGTGGCGACGGCAGGCGACGACCGGACTTCAGCCCTAGGCTCGCAACACTGTTCCGATGAGGCCTGCGGGCTTGGTTTGGGTGAAAAACAACAAGGCAGGAGCCAGAATAGTGAACAGTAGCGATAACCTCCAATGGGCAGTGATGGCGCCAAAAAAAGGGATAGAATGCTCTGATACCATGTGAAAGAATGAAAAGTTTCATCTATTTCTCATACTAGTGATGTACATATTACAATAATTTATACAGAGAAAGCTATAACCTAATGAGCCTACTCCTAACAAGCCTAGGGTTTCAACAGGTTAGGAATTCAATTGTAAATTTTTAGGTTCAATGGCCTAATTACATTACCATGTGCAGTGTAATAGCCTATTTGACCCTTATTCTTTCTTTCTTTTTTTGGACAAATCACATATTTCTATCGTTGTCTTTTGTCAATTTAGTATCACAAGACGAGTTTCACATAAAGAGCATATTTGAGAAACAATCGCAGGTTTTCACGTAAATCAAAGTAAAGAACAATGGGCATGAAAATCTGGCACCATATAGAGGACAAAACTGTTACATTTCAGAGAAGACAAGTTCAGGCAAACAACTTATTACATATAAGTCATTAGGCAACCATGAATTGCATTCAAACCATTTGAATGAGAAAAATTAGTTGATCTCCCCATTTGTGTTTCCAGCAATGGAGATGCTCACCTTTGGCGGCACGCCTTGGCCTGGCTGGTGAAGGTGGGTACGAGAGCCGCTTCTTCACAGAGCCAGCTAATCCCTTTTCGAGAGTCCCATTCTCCACGCCAAATGGACTTTGCAAGCGCACTTTTGTCTTTCCTGATTTGGTGGGCGTCGTTTAGCTTGGTATCTGTGACACGAGAAAGCATCTGCATACATTTCAGAGCAATTGTAGTTTGTGATTTCATAATTCTATAGTCGGTCCATTGACTAGTGGTTAGTCTCGCAATCCCTCTTAAAGCCTTCAATGGCCTCCTAACCTGCAAATAATGCATGAAAATAGACACCATTTTAACTTCTACCTTACCAAGATTCCAAGAAAGTTGAGTTTGTACTTACTCTCCGCGTAAAAGTCAGGTACGTCTTGTGTCTAGAATCTGGCTCGAACTAGCCTGAATCCCGACTGCATAACTTGAAGCTTTCTCGAAAGTTTCATAAAAAATTTGAACCTTAAACATGAACTGGAACATAACCATCGTCCGACATTTGCAACCACAGGTCATCTAGCATTGCGTATATTTTGTCTCGTTCTGGATGCTGACAATCTTCGGCCAAGAAAACATGAATCCTATCTTTGGCCTCGATCCAACTTTGACCTGGAGCTTTTTTGATACCTTTTTGTCTCATTAAACCTTTCAGCGTGGCGAAATCTTTCCAATTTCCAGTAGAAGCATATATGTTGCAGAGTAACACGTGGGCTGCAGAGTTCGAGGGATCAATCTTCAAAACATTCTCCGCAGCCCGTCTTCCAACGTCGAGATTATTATGCGTTTTACAGGCTGCCAACAGTGTTTTCCACATCACGATGTCGGGATCGAATGTCATTTGATTGATAAAAGCTTCGGCCTCGTCTATGCAGCCAGCTCGAGCAAACATGTCAACAACACAAGAACAATGCTCTCTTGTAGGTACAATCCCGTGCTCCATTTCCATTTGCTGGAATAACTGCCACCCCTCTTTTACCAGCCCGACATGACTACAAGCTGTTAAAACCCCAACGAACGTTACCTGGCTCGGTTTGACTCCTAAATTCCTCATTTCCCCGAAAAGCTTTAGAGCTTCTTCCCCATATCCGAACTGAGCGTACCCCACAATCAAACTACTCCACGAGAATACATCGGGATTCTCCATGCCACCAAAGAGCTTCCTAGCATTTTCCATCGAGCCGCACTTAACATACATGTCAATTAATCCATTACTGATTGTGATGTCGAGACTAAGCCCGGTTCTCAGAGCATAGGAGTGAGCTTGATCTCCCATTTCTAGAGAGGCTACCTTCCCACAAGCCCCAACTATATTGACTAAAGTAATACGATCAGGCTTATAATGATATTGAAGCATCATCTTAAATAGCGAGAAAACTTCTCCTGACTCATTGTGTTGTATAGACACCGTAAGAATAGCATTCCATGAAACTAGATCAGCATTGTGTTGAATTTCACCGAACATCCTATATGCACTAAAAAGGTCTGAACAATTTGAATACATCGAAAGCAAGGTATTACATACCGGAATGTACAAATCAAATCCCGTCTTGATAATAAAGCAGTGTACCTGTTTTCCCTGAAACAGGGCTAAGGGACTAACAAAAGCACAGAGAAGAGAACGCATCGTGAGATCATCTGGAGTGAAGTCCAGATGCCTCATCTCCGAAAATAAAGCCAATGCTTCACTAGCATCGCCACTACTAGAAAACCCGGTAATAATTGCATTCCAGGACACTATATCGGGGTTGTCTATCTGGTAGAACGCAGTTTTTGCAGATTCTAACAAGCCACACCTCGCATACATATCAGCAAGAGAGCAACCCGCATAAGCATCTTGCCCGAGCCCATATTTTATACAAATACCGTGTACTTGTCTTCCATATTCAGGCTGCACGAGACTGCTGCAGGCGCTAAATACACTGCCAAAAATAAATTCATTCGCCTGGTAAATTCCATGGCCAAACATCTCTCTAAAATGATACAGGGCTTCCAACTCATAGCCGAGTTGTGAAAAACCAGCTATGATTGAACTCCATGAGATCAAGTCCTTTAATTTGATACGAGAAAACACATTCACTGCCTCATTTATCATGCTGAACTTTGTATACATCGCAACCAGAGCGTTTTGAGCAATAAGATGAGAACTACGTTCTGACTTAATAACCTGGCAATGCAACTGCTGTCCTAACTCGAGCTCACCCAAATTAGAGCAAGATTTTAGTAAGCTCCCGAAAGTGAACGGGTCTGGCATTACTCCTGACTGGCGCATCTGAAAATACAATCTTATTGCTTCTATTTCCTGATCATTTTGCGAGTACCCAGCAATAACTGAAGTCCAAGATACCACATTCCGCTCCACCATTTGATCAAAAACCCTTCTAGCATCCCTCATTGATCCACACTTTCCAAACATATTAAGAACATGATTCTGAAAGATCATATCAGGTTCATAACCAGACATCAAGACATGGTTGTAAAGTTTTCGTGCAGAGTCCAAGGACCGTAAGGATGAGCAGGCGGATACCAAATTAGTATAGGTGCTGGGATATACATGATAAATCGTAGTCGTTTTTAATAGCTCGAATGCCTCGAGAGCTCCTTTAAATAGCTTCCGTTTGCACAATGAGCTTATGTAATCATTACTCCATTGCTCGTTTATGAAGTTTGGTGCAGTGTACTGACTAATATTAATAGATGTGGATATCAGTCTTTTGAGTGATTCTTTCAGACAATTCGTCGAGCATGGTGAATGTGGGTGGAGACCAAGCATTTGCAACTACCTCAAAGACCGGAACTTTTGAGTAGTACCCGCAAGAATGATATGCCTGCTGACAACAAAGAATCTGATAAAAAATAAATATTGAAAAAAGGAAATAAGTATCGTGATGAAGAATGGATACTAATACGAGAATATCACCATTGTTGGAATTGGTTGAGGATAAATACATTTAAAAAAATTGTACCCTATGCTTTAATTGAGGTGGACTACTTAAATATGATAATAGATTTGGTAAAACCATAAAAGGTCCCGGGTTCAAATCCCTCACTTGTTTATCAACCTATTTTCACTTGTTAGGCCCATCCAAAAGTGCTCATCTCATACAGTCATACATGAATGGGAATGTTTTAGACAAATATAAAACAACAAAGAAATGTGAATCTCACAAACAGCAAAAATTTTGTGCAACAAACTTGTCAGTACAATACCAAGTTAATAGCTCTTTCTAACTAATATCAGCCACTATTAGAACTTAGAAGAGATAGTTTTGAAAAACTAATCAACCATACACAAATCATTGAATTGAAGCAACACGAAAATTACGCGTAAAAAATATGCAATACTAGAATTACAAGTAAAGTGGTTAGAAAACAGTGTTCTTGGCCCATTATATAACAAGGTGAAGTGATAAGAGTTAACAATACAACACATATTGTGGCACATGATAATGAATGGAAGGCAACCCATACCACACTCCAAGAATAAGGGCTCCTTCTCTTCTTGTAATTTAAGGTTGGAAACCTCCTTCATAAAATTTAAGCATTCTCGTAGCTGGTGGTCTGCCTTGAAAGCTTGCCATTGTAGAATGGCATACCTAACAGCTTAAGCAGCAGCAGCAATGGCAACTGCTGCTATCAATGGGGTTATAACCAAAAGAAACAAAAACGGTCAACTTTGTTGTAGAGGAATTGATTAGAGGTCATAAACGATGAAAGATCCAAACTTTACCGCCAGAAGTGACAAAGATCGAAGAAGAAAATTCAACAATTGAGCAGACGAAGAATTGGGGGGTTCTGTATTTCTTTCTGTTTATTTAAGAGTCCAGAGGCAATTTTGTGGGTTCAACATTTGGGTATTAGGGATTGCTAAAATTTTGATGGACTAGATCAGCAAGAAGAGGCTGGACCGCTGGACCGAACCGGATCAGTTTTTTTTTTTTTTTTTTTTTTTTTTCTTTTTGCAGCACGGCATCCAATATCTCTATCTAATCTTGTAATATGATCCGACCTTTGTATTAAAAGTTAATTTAATAAGTCAAAGACTAAGAGTGTGAACTAAGTAAACATCGTCTTGTGATTGTCGAGTTTGACCAATTTGACTAAGGTTGTCCCTGATAGAAGACCATTTGACAAGTAAACAAGTATGTAATAGGGTTGCCGCTCGTCAAAGACCATTTGACAAGTAATCAGATATGTGAAGATGGATCATCTCGGTTGAACTAGTTACACATGATATTTTTAGAGTTGTTTAGCTCTTCTGTGTAATTTATTGACTATTGCAAAGAAATTGAGTTTTACTCCTACATCCTCAAATAATAACAGTTAGATTTCCTCGTCACACACATATGTTATTCCCACCGAGCATGAGCAACTCAACTGAACATAGAAGCTAGACCTTTGCTTACTGCGCACAAAGAGTCTCCCTTATTTTGAGAGGTTGCTTAGACTTGATTCTGGTCATTGTTCTCAAACTTCACTACTGTAATCAATTGAGCTTTACACATATGTGTCCGTATGTGTGAGTGAGAGAGAAGACTGAATCACCAATAAATTACATAGAAGCTAGACATTTGCTTACTGCACACATAAAATATCACATTTGTCCTTTAAATGAGTTGTCCCTAAGGGAGAATAACTATAAATATATTTATATATTTTAAAAATAATTAACTAAAAATGGCACAACAGTGTCAAACTCTTTGGGTACATTGACAATATAACAATGATATACAATCAATCTGAATCAATAAAAGATGGTTTCTTGAACTGTTACAATCCCAACAATGGAAGAAAGAAAAATATGAAGACTGTAGTCCAATGAACTCTGTTGACTCTTTGTCTGGAACCAGACACCAAACAACAATGAATCTATAAGGTACAATTCTATAGAGAAGTGGAAGTTATACAAATATATGAATTCAAATCAACCAACATAACATACTTATAGAGCACCATTTTAGTGAGAACACTTTAGTTGGTCTCCCCATTTGTGTTAACAGTGGAGATGTTCACCTTTGGCGGGCCGGAGTGTCGCCTTGGCCTGGCTGGTGAAGGCGGGTACGAGAGCCGCTTCTTCACGGAGCCCGCTGATCCCTTTTCGGGAGTCACATTCTCCACGCCTAATGGGCTTTGCAAGCGCGTTTTTGCCTTTGCTGACTTGGTGGGCGTCATGTAGCTTGGTATGGACTGGAAGCTCGCCAAACTCTCGTCATCTCTTACCGATGACCCTGCAATGCTATGCCTCCTATTGCGCTCCGATTGGATGCTGAGCATGCTTTTAGTGTCGTCATCTTGGCTCGTTGCGCTCACTCTTGGGCTTGGTAGTTTCGTTTTTCTGGCAGCCATTGAAGAGGCAGGCGGCTTGGATGCAGGAGTGGCGGGTGAATGGTGGGTTGATGCGGGCTTTTGGCTCGATGGTGAAAAAGGTTGTTCATTGTTTAGCTGATGACGCGCAAATGACCTTGTAATTTCTCCCCCGATAATGCTAACACCACCACTTTTCACAGATGACTGGTCGTTTTTAAGTTCTTTCTCCGACATGCTCTGGGGCTCCAAAGACCTCCCGCCCATCCATCGTTCCAACCAGCTCCAACCCCACTGAGGATTGGTCGGATCCATGAACAATAGGTTGGAAGATCTTGATGACTTCTTCCAGGTTTGCTGTTAGATAAGAAAATTCCATGTGTAAAATTAGCAATTTTTTACGATACTTATGAATCATTCTGATTCAAGACATATCATGGAAAACATATATAGGGGCTATGTTTGGCAAACTTAGCTGAAAAGGTAGCTAAAAGCTGAAAACTGAAAAACTGTTAAACTAGCTAATTATGCAAAAGTGTTTGGTAAAATTAGCGCTGATAAATGTAAACAGACTAAAAAGGCAAAAAGATTTTAATTGGGAGGGATAAAGGATGTCATTTATTTAAAATAATAAGGATAAAGATGGAAAAAAAATAAAAAAAATTACGAAGCTACTAGCTTATTTTTGAAACGTGCTCTTATTTTAAGCTACTAGCTTATTTTGGGAACATTACCAAACAGAATAGCTTATTAGTAGCTTAAAATAAGCTATAAGCTTACAATCCAGGTCAAGAGCATACTTTCTCCTAACACGTGCATTACTAATGAAATTGTTTTGCTATGCAATAACAAGAGGTTTTAGTAAAGTTTCATAGAATGTGAAAATGACAGCGGTTTTCTAGGTGTAAAAATCTCAAAGTAATTAGCATGCAAAAGAATCTTGCATATTGAAGTAAAAATTCTCGCTGTTTAGCATTTTAAGACACTATAATATTATACTTTACAGATATAAATCTCGCCAAATTGCTACTTGATGAGAATATCAATAAGCAAATGTTCTTTGTTTAATGAGGGTGTAAAAGCAACCGAGGCAACAGTTACCTGATGAGAATACGAATAAGCTAATGCTCTTTCCCGTCTCATGGCAGCTTCATACTTGCTTAGCAAGCTTGCTTCAATTTGCTCCTTTGATTGTATACTATCATCCCATCCATCCCCTCTCTGCCAAACATTTTAAACAACGGGCTTAGAAAATAGCTGATAGTCCTACAATACGCTCAGTATTCATCGTAATATGTGACTTTCCCTCACCCGTAACTTGAGTGGAAAATAAAGCACAAAGAGACAAAATTAAACTATCTTACTCATAAAGAACGAGTCATGAACCGTAAAATTTCAGCAAATTTGTTTTCATAATATGGATACAATGGGTCACAGTTGTAAACCTTTTCTCTGAAGAAAGTTTGACGAGAGAAGAAAACTCACCCTCAAGCTCTCAAGTTCTTTTGCGTGTTTTTGCAAAAGTTGTCTCTGTAGAGCTCGATTTTCCTCCAGCATCCTATTCCTTCTAGAGTGTATCTGTGACTGTACACGAGAAAGCGCCTGCATACATTTCAGAGCATTTGCAGTTTGTCGTTTCACAGTAGGCCCATTAACAAGTGATTTTAGTCTCACAAGCCCTCTTAAAGCCTTCAATGCCCTCCTAGCCTGCGAATAATGAATGAAAACAGAAACCATTTTAACTTCTCCTTACCAAGACCTTCTCCCAGAAAAGAAAATGAGTCTTAAATTATGCGGGCCGATTACTTTTTGATGATAGAATATATTATGCGGGCCGATTACTTTTTGATGATAGACCATATTCTCTTTTTTACCGGGTGGCACAGAGATTCAAACCCATGACCTTTAGCATGGGGTTGGCTCTGATACCAAATTGAAGCACGTGCTCCATCTCAACTAAAAGTCTAGCTGATAGTTGGATTGCACATTTATGTTTATATATTATATGCTCAACAATTAGGTTATACAGCTACATACCAGGTATCCTCGGAAAGCAGTCTGAATCTTGATTGTGGCATCTTCTTCCCTTGATTTGCCGGCAAAGTGAGCTGGCGTAGGCCGAACAACTTCTGAAGCGATCTGAGCAGTTGGAGGAGCAGAAGCTTCAGCTGCTGATGCAGTAGCAATTGCAACCGAGTAAGATTGTACTGTCTGCTCTTTCTCGTCTTCTGCCAATTTCAACTCTTCCACCGGAGGAAGTGGGTTCGGAGGTGATGCTTTGGATGTTTCTTGATTAGAAGATTCTGGAACCAGAGGCTGTTCTTTCTCAACCCATTTCTTGTTTGATTTACTCGCTTTCTGAAAACAAGAATGCACGAGTCATAAGTCCTTTATTAACTTAAGAACATCAAGGACTAAGCAAGCACAATTGTAGAGACGAAATTCAAATGCAAGGAGCTCAAACAATTCAGAACACAATACCTTTCCTTTCTTTTCTGGGCTGAAAGCCTTCTTTATCGAAGAAAACCAGCTGCCTTTCCTCCCCATTTGTTATTTCATTCCCCAATCTGTATTCTGGAGCAAAACACAATGTCACAGGTCATCACTTCACCTTTGATAGCCCGCAACCACTACCCGAGGGTGTGCACAAAGTAAACCCCACCTTGTAACCCTAGCCGGCAAAGGACCATAAGGAGGTAAACCAGTCTAGGTTGTCCATAACTGATCGGCTCAAAACAAGAAAGCCAATAGGCCATTCCCGTTGGGAGTCGAACTTGTAACCTTGTGGTTACAAAGTCCATCAATCTTTGATTGGTTTTCTGGAGAGGCTACAGTTTTTTTTTAATAAAAATTAAAGACCTTTGTACACTATGAACAATTGTAACTGGTTCTCAAATAGTGTGAGATCTCATTGAACAAATCCAGAGGGTAAACATGGCTGCAATTAAGGAAGCTATCATCCTGAACCCAGACACTAAAACAGTGAGAACTTCAAGAAAAGACTACAAGTTTCCATTATGGAATTTCCTACTAGCCTTCTCTTCTACCATTCCCTCAGTGACCAAAGAGCAGCTAAACTCATTACTCAATTCACAAGAGTCAACTTGCAGACCCACAGAAATCTAGCCATGGAAGATAACCCAACAATTCTCCAAAAGAAGAATGGATTTGTAACACATTTCACACTAAAAAAGAGCAGAAATTTACATATTTCTAAAGAAAGAAGGAGCTGAAGAATACCAGTTAGTGAGAACTTCCAGATCTCAGGAAGTCTTGCAGTTCTTCTCCTCTTCTTCACAGTTTCCTTTCAATCTGTACACAGAACCAAAAATAATGACAATAATAATGGAAAAAGAAGTCGGACCCTCCTCTCTTCTTCCGGTGACAGTAAGGTGAGGAAGGAGATCAGATCTCACCAAAGAAGAATTCAACGATGAGAGGGAACCTAAAGATTACAAGCTGGTATACTGGGCCCCACGCAATTATCTTAGCTCAACTATTATTTATGGCATTAACCATGTTCAAACGATGATTAGATGCTCCAGTTTAATTCTCTCTCTCTCCCCCTTATAGGGTGTAAATGAGCCACAAGCCACTCGATCAAAGCTCGACTCGAGCTTAATTAACTTCGAACTCGAATCGGTTTGTTTCATAATCGAACTGAGCTCGAGTTCAAATATTTTAAGTTCGTGATTTGTTGAGTCGCTCACGAGTCATATATAATCATAGCTTAGCAATTCGCGAACTGTTAGGTCAACTTCGAGCTCGAACTCGAGTCTACTTATTGTTTATCGAGTTCGAGTTCGACTCGTTTACACTCAGCTATTTAGGATCTCAAATTGCATGATTGCACCAAATCAAGATCGTCAATGGGCCGCTTTTGCTGAGACTGGCCAACTTAACAAAGAGTTGCTCCACGTTTATGTTTTATATGTTATATACTCAATATTGCTATCAAATTTTCATTCTCCAATTATTATAAATTGACCAAATCTCAACTACAATATAACTCATAATTTGGAACAATTTTTACCTTAATGGTCCATGTGATCACAATCATCACACTCATGAGAACTTATAGGAGATTCATAATAATGCAGCAATAAATAAAATAATGAATATGTGGAAAGAATCCTAATTATCATTAGATATCAGTAATTACAAGTAATTAAGAGGTGGAAAGAATCCTAATTAATCATTAGATGTAATAATACTTTGGTTGCTCATCTGATCCAACCAAAAAGAGAACATTTCATGATAGATAAATGAATTGTCTTTTTCTCCTCCATCTCCTGTTGTTGCTGCTAAAGAAAATATGTTTTCATGATTTGTTTGGATTTGTTAAATCTATAGGTTCAAAGTCTGCCGACAACATTAGATGCTTTTTTAATATTAAATGTGTACAATATTAAACTATTAGTTTGGGTTTGGTGAGTAATTAAGTTGACTATTAGCCATTCTGTTCATAAATCATTGTCTATTAACAAATATAGATAGACTTAAAGGGAAGAAAATGACAGTTTTAATACTTTAATTGTGACCTCAATATAAATTTAATCTCTCAATTATTTATAATATTCTTTACAAAATGTAAAAATGTAAGATCTATTTAGAAATGACAGAATACAAAACACAAAATCCAATCTGAACTCTAAACTTCAAGAATCACTGAACTCCAGTCCTTCAAGTCCTTCAAGAATCCATTCTGGGGCATTGGAAAGCCAGAGTGAAACACACCTCTCATCATTCTTGAAATCTGGGTGTCTAGTTTTCACAGATCCCTTAGCTTTTCTTCCACGATAATCTTTCCACTGTTTTGGGTTCTTGATTAGGTCCTTCCAATTCCTCACTTGCTCAACATTCATAGTTTTTCTGGTGAACCCTTTCTTGTTACCCTTTTTCTGCTTCACAGAGATATCATCATCATCATCATCGTCCTCATTTTCCAACCCAGAAATCCTCTTCAAACCCACCACAAAGTTCATGATTTGGACCAGAAGATGAACAGTCTTTTGATTATGATTCCCATTACTCAACTGCCCAGAAACATAAATGCAGTCATTTTTCTTCACATGAAACTCCGCGATGGCAGCCAAATCTCCTTGAAACACAACAGGAATCGACACAGATGGGCTGGAAACAGTGGAAAGTATGACAGTCTTAGCCACACGCCTGCCATCAGGCAAAGACTTTAACTGGACTGGGCAGTCAACAAAACCGATCAGATCCACGGAATTCGAAACATTTGAGTGGAAGGGAATTTCACAGAAAGGGAGGGGCTTTGATTCGTTCTCGGGTTTTGGCACTTTTGGGGGATTAAACGAGACTGGTGAGGTTAGTGGTGAGGGCTCTTGAGCTTTTTGCACTCTGGGTTCTCTCGATTTGGAGGAAAAGAGAGAAGATTGTTGGAGGGCTGTGAGGGTTTGCAGTAAGACGATGCATTTTCTTGATTGCGTTGGCGATGGAGATGAGTTGAACAGTTGGGTTGATATTGCTTTTGTAAGGAAATTCATCGGTTTTTCATTAGAAGGATCTAGTGACGAAAAGAGCGAAAGGGCATAATGAAATCTCCATTTTAGCTCGGTTCTTGTAGCGATTGGCGTGGAAGGAAGAGCCAAGAGTGCCTGCAGTTTGGCTTTCATGTGGCGGATTTTAGGGTTGTAGGGTTTCAAACCAATTGGATTTTCGGAGGAATTATCTATTTAATTATGTCTTTTGTTGGTCACTACGCGGTTAATCCTTTACTTACGAAGTCCGAATAACACTATAATGAACTGGATAACACTGTAACAGACCATAATGAACTGGATAACACTGTAACAGACCAATTATGTCTTTTGTTGGTCACTACGCGGTTAATCCTTTACTTACGAGGTCTGAATAACACTATAATGAATTGGATAACACTGTAATAGACCAATTAGGACGCTGTTAATCCAGGTTACGAGGTCTAAATAACACTATAATGAACTGAATAACATTGTAACAGACCAATTAGGGCGCTGTTAATCCTTTACCATAACACTGTAACAGACCAATTAAGGTTACAAGGCGAACTTCACCAAAAGAATTACAAGGTGAATTTCATCCCAATTACACGTCCAAATAACACTATAACAGACTAATTAGGGTTACAATGCGAACTTCACCAAAAGTGTGTAGCACCATAACGACTACACATTTTCTCGTAAATCAAAGTATTTAAAACGAATTCATATAGAAGCCACCGAAGATGCTCCTGGTGGTGATGTTCGACCTTTGCATTTGATGTAATAGACTAATAGGAGTGTGTTAGGTTAATTTTTGAAGCAATATGAAAATGTCACAATCTTGGTATAAAATGTCAAGAATGACTTGAACCAATGGCATTTAAAACTCTCCACCTATTTGATATTTGTACAAAAGGCAGTACAGCAGAATGGTTTCAAGGGGGCTAGAGTTTTGGCACACAAGAGGAGAGACATCAAAATTCCAGTAAACATTTGCAGAATACATCATCACTGCTCTTTCTACTCTTCAAGTCCATACTCATCCCCATAGTACTTGTCCAGCAACTCATTAGCCATGCCCCTCAGTTCTTCGTTTTCGTGGAATTGGTATCGCTCCAAGGCTTCGATGCCATCCTCCTTCTCCACCAGCTTTGGGCCCTCGCGGTTTGGCATTCCCCTTAGAACCTGCGGTCGGGCAACAAAAAGGTCAGGCGATCTTTGCAGAACACAATTCAATTTTTTTTTGGGTCAGACCACGAGGTTCCTGAGCAGACCCTAACTGTAGGAGGCACCTTTAAGCCTGTACCATACTCAAACTAATTCCTGTTCGAACCGGGCCGGCCCAATTAAGGGGCAAAGTGCTAGCCAGATTGGTTTTTCTATACGAGAGGGGGTTCGAACTCCCAACCTCTCTTAAAGGACAAGAGTGTACAACCACTCACACCAACCAAGCTGGTATTGGAATACAATTCAATTGGCATGATCCTTTCAAGATTTTGTAGTAATGGATTAACGTTGTTCACACTTCACTACTATCTCCATATTTTGCATCCTTCAACTCTATTTTACCACATAGGTTGTTCTCGAGGCGCTTGCCAAGCCTAAGTGGGTATGTGAAGGATGATGGAAAGCGAAAGTAACTACTTACCAGCTCAAGAAATTGCATCCCGAGTCTTGCAGCCTCAGCGTCGACTGACCTTACTAAATCAACGAATCCGGAAAGGCATCCTCTTCCCACGAGGGAAACCAAGTGTTCCAGTATCAACTTTGGCATTCCAGAACCGTCATCCGGGGCAACACAGAGGTTGCCCAGAACATATGCTACCTCCTTTTTTATGTCAAAAGGTGCTGTCGAAAGAAGGTGCAATAACACTGCCAACGCATCGCTTGAATGTATTAATTTCTTATGTTCTGCAGACCCGGCTGCTAGATTAGATAGTACCCAAGCTGCTTCCTGCGAAAATCATGGAAGTTTAAATACGTGTTGTAACAATGTAACTGACTCTGAAAAGTAGTTTACCTTCTTCAAGATACGATGTTCGCTTTTCAAACACTTCACCTGTGCTTGGATAAACGCATCTGCAGTTGCCACAACACGGTGGTTTTACGATCAAAATCGTTTCGGAATACTAACCTCTTTTCTTTACAAACACGGAAGATATAGGAGGAGAGAAGAAAACTAGCCTGTTATCTCGTTTCCAGCGACAAGAACAGCATTAGTTATACGAGTTTCACCAGCCACAAGATTACCTAAACTCCGTAGGACCTGCAATTAGATAGAGTATCGAAAAATTCAGGCAAAGTGGATGTTAATCAATTTCTATAACAAAAGTTGATAAAATTTACATGTACAACATGTTACCGGGATAAGCAGCTGCAGGCTATTTGTCTCGTTCAACCTTTCTATCAGAATTTGAAGGAGATCGCTCTTTGCAAGTATGCTGGTAGCAAAATTTGACAGGGCGGAGAGATACACAACGACCCATGCTACTTCAGTGGCCAACTCAACATCTCTGATTCACCGCCAAAAATAAACATTCAAATATCAAGAAAGCATCATTTAATGACTCAGTGTCGTCATTCAAAGATATAGTTTGCTTCCTCTAATCATAAAAGTGAATAACGTTTGTATGAGGAGGAATCTACAAGAGACAAATAAGCAGTTAAATAAAGAGCTTGGTTGGCGTGAGTGGCCGTGCACTCTCATCCCTTAAGAGAGGTCGGGAGTTCAAACCCCCTCTCGTATGAAAAAACCAATCTGACCAACACTTTGCCCCTTAATTGGGCCGGCCCAATGCGGGGGATTAGTCTGAGTATAGTACAGGCTTAAAGGTGCCTCCTACAGTTAGGGCCTGCTCAGTCATGGCTTGACCAAAAAAAAAAAAGCATTTAAATGGCACAATGGAACATTGTTATAATAAGTTTTTTTCTCGGCAATGCCTAACATCAATGATCTCAAAGCTTCTGGTTATCATATAGTAGACCCTACGGAAAGTTGTTCTTTGGATGACATATACGTATGAAAGGATCCACATCATGCATTCTACGAAAAATTGCTCATATGGTTAGATATCGCGAGCAAGCTTCTTCTAGCCAACCTTATTTAGACATCTGCTCAACTAAAAGTTAGCGGTAAACAGGTGATTGATGCAGTTCATAAATCAAGGTGTGAAAAATTAGGAACATTACAGAGCTTGTGTATTGCAATGTAAGCATAACAAATTAACATCAACTTACGCTTTCTTCAAATGCCGAAGAATTGCATCAAGTACACCATCAATTCTTATCAACTCTGTTGCTGCTTTAGGGTCTGGTCCCTGCATAGAATCAGTAATGTTCTTTTATCCAAAAATGAAATTTTCATAGTAATTAAGGAAAATTTAACCAGCTTGGTTGGCATGAGTGGCCGTGCACTCTTGTTCCTTAAGAGAGGTCAGGAGTTCGAATCCCCTCTCGTATGGAAAAACCAATCTGGCCAGCACTTTGCCTCTTAAATGGGCCGGCCCGGTGTGAACGGGGATTAGTCTGAGTATGGTATGGGCTTAAAGGTGCCTCCTACAGTTAAGGCCTGCTCAGGACACCTCGTGGTCTTACCAAAAAAAAAAAGGAAAATTTCATAGTAATTAAGGAACCTTAATCAGGTTTGACAATGCCCAAGCTGCAGTTGTCACGGTTGATCCCTTGTTTGGAAACATCATTCTTGCCAGAGGTGGCAACGCTCCTTGTGATAGGAGAACACTTCTCAATTCCTCCCCTTCACCGGCAACATTTCCTAATGCCCATGCACATTGCTCCGCAACAGGCGAGGAACTCTTTTCTACATAATAGAAAAGAGACCAGAAGCGACTAGGATTATAAAGAATTTCAAGCGATTATTATATCAACAAAGAATTAACGAAAATATAAACAAGCACACTTCCAAATCAATATGGAGAAGCCGACACCAACCTCCTAGATGAGCAATAAGCAAAGGTAATGCGGGCAACAAAGCTTTTGTTTCATCAGGCCTTCCTGCTGCTATATTTGTAAGACACCAAGCCGCTTCAAGCAACTATAGCCCCAAAAATAAAAATAAATAAATAAAACACAAGCATCGGTTTGCAGTGATTACTACAATTTCATGACAAAAACCCCGGCAAAACTACAAGCATCAAGTAATGTCAGCTAACCCCAGCCTTTACCCTTTTGATCAAGAACCCAAAGTTTGCAGCCATAAATTGTATTATTGTTCAATAGTACTTTAAACGGTCAATTGAAACTAATCTAAGTGAAGTTTGATATTCAGTCAATCAAGAATAGGGGAGAATAGCATTACAAGATTGCGTATATAAGAACCCAAAGGAAATAAGAACTACGCAGCTACTTAGTAAACACCGTCAGTTCATCACAATGACCATAATGCCTCTAACCTGTTCATCTGGAGACCCAAATGAAAGACATTTCACAAGGAGAGGCAGAGCTCCAGCCTCGAGGGCAGCTTCAACAGGAGGGAATTCTGACCTAGAAAGCAGACGTCTTAGCTCACGGAGAGCATTCACTCTTTTCTGTACAGCACCTTTCCCCCTAACAGTCAACGAGAGAGTCTGATTAATAATAATGGAAGCAATGTTACATATCATCGACCACCAAAGGAAATAAGGAAGGTGCTGGTTATACAAACACCTAAAAGACCTCATTTTTTTTAGAAATCACATATGTTTAGTTTATCAGACTGGGTGTTTGGGCTTAAATAGTTACTGAACATGTGAAATAAAACTGTCCCAATGCTTACCTTTAAGAGCCACAGAAATGAATAACTCAATCCAAGCTATATCATCGAAAACAGAACTAATAGTAATTAATCATGCATGTTTAAACATTTTGAGAAATATTCACATATGAGACATATCAACATTATCTAAAGGCAAATAGTCTCTTAATTACGCCATATTAAAAAAAAAAAAAAAAAAAAAAAGTGGTAGTTAGCGTACTGATGGGCAACAGCAAGTTTTAATTCTTCCACAGCTGATGAAGTCTGAACCTCCAAAATAGATTGCTCTTCGTCAATCATCATATCAGCTTCAGGAGCAACATCAGAATCACCAGTAATCCCCACCCTGCAAAGGCGCTTTGTTCTCATCAGCGTTTCTCTTCTTTCTTTCCCCACTGTAACTGCATTCTCCCGTCTTCTTTGTGCTGCAGTATTCCCAACTGCAATACCACATAGACATTCATTATATTGTGTCTAACCACCTATATACACAGAAGGTGAAACTGTAACCTAAGGGGCAAGTTGCAACTAAAGCAAACCCACCAACCTTCCAAGTGAATCACCATATACACCTTTCTAGGAAATAAAAAAATCCAGGCTCCATATAGAAAGCAAGCATCTTGTTATCATTCAAACAGTAAAGAAATAGCATTTATGTTTGATAACAACAATATTGTAACATTCTATCAATTTTAATCTGTTCCTTGAAGATTCTATAGATACCAAATAAATACAGTGCTTATATAAATCAACATAGAGCTTCACAAATTTCAGTGTGCAAAATTTTCAGCTGTGACCTAAGAATGCACAATAAGATATTCACATTTCCTAGCTATATCCTTTCAATTTCAAGAAAAGCTATAAACTTTACTGCTAAAAAATGGGCTTTAGGGTGAAACCATGCCTGATGACTTTATGGGGTCTCTTTTATGAGAAGCCGCGCCTTCATCCGCCATTACTGCTGAAGTAAGCTCCAAGACTAAGTTCTCCACTTGGATTTCCGGTGAATAGCAGATAATAAAATTAAAGCATTGAGCTTTTAGCTGCTGGGATTTATGGGATTTTGGTTTTTTGTGCTGTTCAACACCACTCAGTGTGATATGATTGTTCCCCTTTCTCGGCGCTCGCCCGAGAACCGAAAATGGGGGCTGGTTTCGGTTTCGGCGCTCAATTTAGCGACCTCTGGTTTTCGTGCCTCCGCGTTTGGGTGCGAGGACAATTGTACTCCGGTTTGGGGATATCTTATTCCTAATCGCGGTTATAGAAATTTTAAAATACCCTATCATTGGGGGTGCCGAGATAGGTATAAGAGTCGATTATATTCTTAAATTATTTAAAAATAACAATTAAACTCTCAAATTTTAAAGTAATTATAATTAAATTTTTAATGCTGAAATAATATTAATCTCAAGTGAATAAATTTCGTCTAAGACTTTAAGTTGAAAATTTATAAGGAAAAAGGTAGTTATATATATAATTCTTAGTGTATAGTAAGTTCTAATTAAGAGGTTTGAACTCTCTCCATGAGTAAATTAGTAAATGGTAAGTGATAAGAGTATTTAGAGTTTGAAGTTTCTTTTTATTGTGAAGCAAGTTAATTTTTTTAGTGTTTATCTAACTCGTGTATAAATTCTCGTTGATAATTGACATGTAGCACTTACCTACAAGTTAGTAAAGATGATTGCGTCATGACTTGATACTGAAGTGATTTGAATGAGTGTGATTGTTGATATGACACTTTCACGTGCAGTTTGTCTGTTCAAGTATGGTCCATTTCTAAACATTTCATGTATTGGAGCGCATTATTGATGTTTAAAATCATAGATAATTGCCATACATGCTTTGTATATCCCATTAGTATAAACTTGATATTTCATTTTAGTTTATTAGTCAATGTATTACATTATTATTCTCAAAATAATTGAATCAATTATTTAATTGTCAAATACTATTATGTAGTGTGATAACACCATTATTACCATTCCAAATAGATAGTCACATAATTGAGTACTGGGAGTTGAGGTCATTTATTTAGAAAGGAGATTTGAAAACTTTGGTTAAAAACAATACAGTTTTGTAACAAATATCATATTAATATATTCAGTATTCTAAAATGGTGGTTAGATGAGTGTGGCATGAATCACGTTACAAGTGGTCTTTCTAATAAAATTTATTATTCTTGTGTGATTTACGGACTATTGTACATAAGCAAAATTTATTTAATACACATTTTCATATAATAATTTCATATTTTTCTCATCACCTAATATATATATATATATATATATATATATATATATATATATATATATATATATATATATATGCAGCATAGGATGGGGACCTAACTAGTAAAACAAAAACTTGGTTGTGCTACCAAAAACAAAAAATGGTCCATAGCACATTAGAATTGAGACAAACTACAGGGATTCTATGTTTCACCACTCTCTTGAGGGCACATTCTTCAATAAATTTGTAACTAAACTCAACAACTAGCATTATATTCAACAATACATAAAAAAATCCAAATAATCTAAAGCATAAACAAACTATTGTAAAAAATAATAATAATAACGTTAAAATTCATATATTTATTGGAATCAATGGACAATTTCAACAAATTTTTTTCTTTGACTAATTAATGAAAATCCAGTGATGAATTTATCTGTAACTTAAAATTTTTTTAATATTATACTAATAATAATTCAATACATATATTACAGTATAAACATGGGAGCAAATCCATACGAAGTATAGATGCATCCCCAATCACTAGGTATATACATTTCCAATCTAAAAAAATCTACTAAAGAGAACAGATAAAACAAACAATATTGGGAAAAGAATAAAAAGGTTAACAAAACCCTATCTAGTTTTTTTTTTTTTTTTTTTTTTTTTTTTTTTGAAAAACAAAATCCTATATAGCTGGGTGCAGGAGTTGTTTGGACATTGTCCATCTATGAAGAACCTGGCCATCAACATCATAGAACACAATCCCAATATCATTCTCAACCAACTGCACAGACATGAATCCTTGCCCATCATAGAAGAATGACACCCCTTTCCTGTTCATTGTAACATCTCCCCTCCACGCCTTCGACCCCGCCCCGCTCGTCATAAATTGAATCGGGCTGCAATCATAATGCACACAAGTCAAACCAATACTAAAAACACAACACATTTTTTTGTGCGCATTTACAACCCAACAGGGTCTTTTTGGGTGACAAAAGAAATCCATAGTTACAACCCAACAAGGTATAGGAGATTTGTGACCCTAGTTAACAAAGACCACAAAGAAACAAACAGTTTAGGTTTTTCATAACGGATCGGGCTCAAACCAAGAAATCAGTCCGACTAACTTGTTTTTGGGTGACAAAAACAAAAGAAACCCGCAGTTACAACCCCACAGGGCGCAGGAGATTTGTGACCCTAGTTAACAAAGACCACAAAAAGACAAACAGTTTAGATTTTTCATAACTGATCAGGCTCAAACCAAGAAGTCAGTCCGACTAACTTGTTTTTGGGTGACAAAAAACAAAAGAAACCCGCAGTTACAACCCCACAGGGCGCAGGAGATTTGTGACCCTAGTTAACAAAGACCACAAAAAGACAAACAGTTTAGATTTTTCATAACTGATCAGGCTCAAACCAAGAAGTCAGTCCGACTAACTTGTTTTTGGGTGACAAAAAACAAAAGAAACCCGCAGTTACAACCCCACAACCCCACAGGAGATAAACAGTTTAGGTTTTCCATAGTTGTGATCAGGTTCAAATCAAAAAGTCATCGAATAACTTGGTTAGATTGACCGAAAAATGTCATTTTTTCACTCACCTTTCGTCGTCAGCGATGTGTTCAAGGCAATGGTCGTGGCCGTTCATGTACAGATCCACGTTGTAGGTCTGCAATTTCCAAGATCAAACAAAGAATGTCGTCAGCTCGACCGGAACCGTGAACGACGATGAAACTACGGTGTTTTCCGACCATCATTAACTTACCCGGAGAATGGGAAGAAGGCGTTCGACGAGGTCTTTGCTGTCGCCGTGGTGCCCGGCGCTCCTAATCGCATGATGCCCGACGACTATCCTCCATTTCGCGGTGGATTTCATCAATGCATATTCAAGATCCTGAAAGAACCAATATGAAAAACATTGTTTTTCGCGAAAACCAAAAAAAAAAAACGACAGAAAACCAAATATTCATCGTCATCGTACTCACTTTTAGCACATTTTTGGTGTATATCTGCCGAGGGGCAACGCCACGCCAATCGTATTCATGCTCGGGCGAAGTGAAGTAATCCTCCACAAATGGTGTCGTGTCCACAAAGAACAAATCAACAATTTCTGAAAATAAAAACATGTAACTAATCTAGATTCTGTTCTCGTCACGAATTTAATACTCTATCAGACTAATTCAAATACAATTCAGATCACAAATTTGGTAACTTATAAGTTTAATTCAAATTCAGTATCTTATTAGATCAATCTAGATTCAGTTTAGGCCACCAAATTTAATACTCTATAAATTAATTTAAATTTGGTTAAGAATATAAAATTCACCTGTGTTGACAACAAAAGACCTTAAACAAAGCCATCTGCTATCAAGTTTTCTGAGGTGAGAGCTAAGTTGTGCCTCAACATCTCCTCTGTAATCATGGTTGCCCAAAACTGCAAATTTGTCACCACTTTCATTAACAAATATGCAAAAAAAAAAAAAAAAAAAAAAAAAAAAAAAAAACTGGGAAGCTGTGGTTGGAACATACCGGAATACCATTGTTTCTGCAAGCTTTCTGCTGTATAAACGTCGGTGAAAGATTCCGTGAAAGCCGGGTCGTGTTCCCCTGTCAACCCACTATCATAAAAGTTGTCACCCGTTGATACAACGAAATCAATGGCCAATCTCTCTCCAATTTTCCCCATCTGCATTCATGTCCACAAAACTGGTATCAATCAATCTGGGAACCAATTCAAAGCATCAAACATCATAGTTAATGTGCATGATGATTTACCTGAAAGGCAACCTGGGATTGGTTATAATCGCCCTTTCTTCCCCAATCTCCGACGACCAAGAAACTAAGGCTGCCATCGCCCTTGGTGGGGTGATGAAACACCGGAAGCTCAGCAATGGCGGACGCAAAACAAAGCCCAAAAACAACGCCCACCCACAGGCACAGAACCATGGAAATCCCCGAATACCGGCCCGCCATGGCTCTGTGAAAACAAGGAATCTTAAGGGAAAAAAAGAAAAGAAAAGAAAAAGAAAAGATTCAACAAATGTGAATGAATCTTCACAAACTACCCTCTCTGATCGATGAAAAACAGAATATGAAAGCGGATGAATTTGAGCAAGAACTCTTCAATCTGTGTATATATTATAGGTCGGGAAAAAGCTGAATCTTTTTGGTTGGTTAAGGTCGGACGGTAATGAATTCAACGGGCAAGAATGTAGGATGTCTGGTTTGGATTAGTGGGGATTAATGATCAATAGCGAATATGCGGGTGGATATGCATGCGGATAAGCGGAGAATATTCTGAGGTATTTCTTCTTCCTGTAATGTCAGTGCCTTTATTTTTATTTTTTTTTTTTAAATTTCTCTGAGCAGTAGGATACAACTAATATTCTTACTTCTATAATATTAATAAAAACAAAATTCACCATTTTAACTTCCAATCTAAAACAGTCCTATACTATTAAAGTTTACGTAATATTGTAAAATAATGTAATTTAATTCATAATAGAATATATTGTTTACTACTTCCCTATTCATACTAAAATTCTACATTAAAATTCTTATTCTTATTCGTAATATACAGTACAACAATATAAAAATTCATATTCCTATCCAACAATATTATTTCGCGCTACTCCAATCGTATAACTTTAATATTAAGTTAGTATTTATTCTACTTTATACCTAATACTAGTTGTTTTACGCGCTTTGCGCGAATAGAATAATGCCCAATGATTATTTTTTTTTAAACTTGTTCAATTAGAGCCGATGGGATGTAACATTGTCAATTCATTGAAAAATGGTCTTACCGTTTTAGATTGCAGGTGTAATTGTATTTATGATCAACAACTTTGTATTTAGGTCGAGCAGGTCTGACATTGATGTAAAAACAATTTTGTCAGATAAAAAAAATAATAGTATAATATTTGTAAGTAATGTACAATTGTACTATTATAAAAATACATACAAAAAATATTAATACCATAACGACCTAAATCATACCAATAATGCAAAAGTGTAATTGAAATATTAAGTTTTGTTCTAATCTAAATAATCAAAATAAGATTAATTAAACAAAAAATAAAAATAAAACTTAACCTAATTTTTTTTTTAATGCATAACAATCAAATGATTTTTAAAGTTCTTGATTTATAATCTATGATGCACTTTGAATGTTATGTATTTAGTCGGGCTAATTATTTGACCAAAGTTTTGTTAAATTATATATATATATATATATATATATATATATATATATATATATATATATATATATATATATATATATATATATATATATATATTAAAATATTCATAGTATATGTTTAACAATTATGCCAACTCTAATTGGAATGAGGTTTGAACCTAAACTTTCTTATATAAATTAATGAGTAAGTTAAAAAATAATAAATAGTTAACGGAATAATTCGTTACTAAAGTTTATACTAACGGAAATTAAGTTATTTAAGGGAAGAAATAATATAATAAAGGGTAAATAAGAAAAATTATTAAAAAAAATACTAAAATCAAAATAATATGAACCATTCATTTTAAGAAACAATAGGACCGATATTTTTTTGTTCCAGTTAAGGGCCAAACATTATTGGCTCTTATTAGAATTGTAGATTGTAGATATTTGTATATTTATAATATAACCTTAAGAATATATAATTACCCAATCCTAATTAACCCTCTGCCTCCAAAATCTCATTCTAAATTCTTTGGGGTGTCCTCCTCCATGATTTTTTTCTATTTAAAAGCTAAAGTGTCATTCCGCACCATTAACTATATTGGATTGTTCACGCCCGCACCTTGAACTTTCATAAGGTATATTTAGATCCACGTATCATTAATTTTTTTTTCGTCTAGCATTTTTTTGCAGGTTTTTCGGTTACCATGATGATATGGCACCGATAATATGCTGATGTGGAACTTCTTTCATGTTTTAGTGGGCCCTATATTCCTAAACTAATCCATGTAGCTTATCCTTGCACCACTCTTCTCTGTTATTTCTCGCAGTAGTTTCCAATACCGCAAAACAGCAACGTTGATGCCGGCTCCTGTCATCGAGGAAGTCGAGGCTGAGAAGAAGCTGCAGGATGATGCGCCAGTGGTAAAAGATGTTAAGGAGGAAGAAAAACACGACGATAACGACCTCGATGACTAAAATACTCTCATTATTTTATCTACTAATATTTTCCGGTGAGATTTGGTCAGCAATTTGGTCGCAGTGACAAAAAAAAAAAATGAATAGTTAAGGTACTAAATTAACAATTTTAAAAGTCGTGAATTACAATTAACAAGACCTTAATGACATATGACCAAAATTAAAATTTAATCCACGGATGCAGGTAGTCCATCATTTAAAAAAATAAAAAATTAATTAAATAGTGAATTTGTAATTACAAAATTACCAACTTTATGCGTCTGGCGTTTGAACTTCAAATGTAAATTGTCTTATTTTTATGATAATTTTTACACTAGTACCGGTAAAATGCATATAATTTCGTTAGTTTTATATATTTTTTAATTTTTTTAAATACATCATCAATTTTGAATCTTAGATGAAAACCGCCTAAGTATTTATTCTGCATATGTAAACAAGCATAGGTCAAAGAAGAATTCGAACTAAAGAATAACTTTACAAATTCTAGAGTTGCACATGCAGAACTGGGAAAACAGCAAAAATTATTAGGACAATGTTATAAGACAATCTGTTATAAAATAAGTGCAATTTTAACTAAGATCTATTTAACTATACTTATAATAGTAATTAGTATAAGTATAATCTGATATATATTTTTACTTTTAGTAATGGCAGCGGTAGAAGTACGCACACACATACATATAGCATTTGCATTATTAATTTAATTTACTTTATTTTTTTAAATAATTAACATTTTAATCTTTTATGTCTCTATGTTTTATTGACAATGATGAAATGAAGTTCAACATTTAATCAACTATACTGGGCAATTAATTAAAGAATTTATGAATTGAAATTATTATTCACATACATATATAAAGAATTTAAATTATTAATAGACACATAAAATTTGCTTGATACAATAGAGTAGATTTGACTTTGTAAAATATTTTAATAGTAGTATAGTATCAATAATTTCTTACGATATTCTATTAAAAAACTTCTAACATTTTTTTACCTCAATAAAATGATTGATAAAATATAAAATACACACATATGCAGAAACTTAATATTGAGGCCCATAGAAACCCGGTGGGCCTATACAGAAAGAGGCCCATTCAATTTCCCTCCGATTGAAAAGTGACTCAAAGCGGGAAATCGGGAACCACGTGAGCGGATTAATATCTAGGAATTAGTGATACCGGAAAGTGTATAAATATGTTTGTACACGTGAAGACCTTGATCACGCGCCATTACAACACGTGAACTCACAAAATTGTCATTAAATCTCTTTAATTGGAATTTTGACATTTGAATATTTGAAATTGTCAGAATATTAAAATTTGAAATTATAACAAATTTAAACTCCATTGTTTTCAAAAGTTGAATCTTCAACCTTAAGAAAGATACATGATAAGAGCACGAGTCCCCTAACTTTAAAAGGTTGCTCTCATACTGTCGCCAATAAGACTCGATTCTGAATAATTATTCTCAAATTACACCCTTATAATCAATTGAACTGCCATGCGGCCAACCCCGTATCATTCATGACTTAAAAACGGATAAAGAAAAAGTAAATCTGAAATGCTTATACATTAGTATTTACAATCAAATCAAATATGGAGTACATACTTCTTTTTTAGCCATTAGTAAACAAAGCTTCTCAATGATTTATTTTTGATTAGTTAAGTAGTTGAAATGTGTCCGGTAAACTTGTAAAAAAAAAAAAAGAATACATGATTATACTTTGTGTAAAATATTAAAATGATCAGTGTCAATCAGTATGGTAGATTGGTATTGAATTAAATATTATAAATTAGTTGAGTTAGGTATAACACTATAACTATTGGGGAACAAGGGTCAAATAAGCCATCGAACTGCAAACGATAAAACAATTAGGCCACCAAACTTAAAAAACTAACAATTAGGTCCCTAAACTAATTAATTTCAAACAATTCTTCTAATTTGAAGGTTTCCAACAGGTCAACAGGTCATACTTCCAAATTAATTATTTTTTAAAATTTAAATTTTAAAAATTAATTATTAAAAAAAAAACTGGTTCCACCGTCTCCGGCTGGATTCCAGGTTTTTTTTTTTTTTTAAATTTAAAAATAATTAATTTTTAAAATTTATTTTTTAAAAAAATAATTAATTTGGGAGATGATCTGTTGGAAACCTTCAAATTGAAATAATTGTTTGAAATTGATTAGTTTAGGGACCTAATTGTTGGTTTTTTAAGTTCAGTGGCCTAATTGTTGTATCGTGTGTAGTTCGATGGCTTATTTGACCCTTATCCCTAACTATTGGTGAGGATGGTGGGAGTAAATAGAAATGTAAAACTTGTTTAAATCATTAATCACCATAATTAAGTTATTCCTAAGTCCAGTACTTCCCTTGTTCTCCTACTGTCCCCCACTCCCACTTTTCCAGTGTTCTCACATGACACTGTTCCTCTTCCAAGCTAATTAGTGTCAGTTATGACCACTAGCTCTCTCTTTCTCTCTCATTCAAAAATAGCTTGATTCAAGAATGTGAATATACTGCTCTCTCTCTCTCTCTCTCTCTCTCTCTCTCTCTCTCTCTCTCTCATTTCAAAGTTTAAAACTTTAGTTGGAATCGTGTAGATCACAATGTGGCAAGTTGCTTTGGGGGCAGCATTTGCAGCAGGATCTGGGTTTCTAGCTAAAAGGCTAATCAATCCAAATGCCCCTCTACCCTCCACCCAAAATGACCAAGAATCTGATCAACCCAAAGACCAAAATGGTCTCAGCTCGTCCAGTTTTGTTGACCAAGATTCAAATTTTACTGGGGAAGTTGGGGCAAAGGAGGAGTCTTTGGGTGATCAATCAATCTTTAGGTTTTCCAGTTCTCCAGGTTCAGAAAGAGGGCCCAGCAAGAACAGTGGGTGTGGGTCTTGCAGGAACAAGCAGGGAAATGTGGAGGGGTTTAAGAGAGATAAGGATGGGAGGATGGTGAAGAAGTGTGGGTTCAAGAAGGGTGGAATGGGGGGGTTAGATCATAGATGCAGTGGGAGTGGGAAGAAGTTCTATGTTTGTTTGAAGAAGAGAAGAACCAGCAAAACTGCCCCAGGAAAATGTGAATCTTGTTCTTCCAATAAAGGTTAGATCTTTGCCACTTTTAATGATGTTTTGTTCCCATCTTTTCTTTTTGTGTGAATTGGGTAAATCCTTTTAATGTTGTTTAGTTGTGCATAGTTAACCGGTTCAAATCAGGCGAATAACGGGAGTCGAACTTATAATATTGTGTTGCTTAAGCTGATAGTTGGATTGCACACTAATGGTTATATGCTCAACACAGAGATTCGAACTCATGACATTTGGCATGACTCTGATACTAAATTGAAGCTTGTGTCTCCATTTCACCTAAAAACCTAAGCTGATAGTTGGATTGCACACTAATGGTTATATGCTCAACATGCCTTACTGCCTTCATTTGTTATGAAAAATATCTGCAGAAATGCTTAGTTGTGAACTTTGTACTATGAGCATTTGTAATAAGGTACTGCAGATTTCTCTTGTTGGCTTTAATGGTGGAATAATGTTCTTTTACTTCAATTCAAATCTTGAAACCTCTAACCAGAGCTCTCAAATTGGAAACTCTTATAAAGGCACAACAACATATGCATCTTCATAAGCTGCTTTACATTAAAAACTGTGGACTATTCTTAGTTTTAAGTTCATATCAGGAGGAACATATTCTAGTATCTGTATTTTTCTGAGATCTTAATGATTCTAGGAACATCCGGTAGAGAGTTTTAGGTAAGTCAAATTCCATTCCAAGTAGCAGGAAATGACATTCTCATTTTGAACGTTTATCGTGCAGGAAATTCAGTTTTCGGTTGGGGTCTTGGTATTGGAATGATGTGCATGATGTCAGCCCGGGGAGCTGAAATCAATAAGCTCAACGTTGCAATGGACGAAACCTCAAAGATTTCGGGGGATATGAAGGAAGAGCATAATATGGAGCCTGAATTTGTTAAGTTATGCACTGAGAATAGAAATGGCAAGAGAATCTTCGGCTTTGCTGTAACCGAGGAAGGTGAATACGCGAGTAGCGTTCTTACAGAGGAGCTGCAGCCCGAAGCTCGGGAAATGGATGAGCTCGAAGCAGAACTTGAATCTGAACTGCAGAAACTTGATGGTTCTGGCTCTGAAGTAAGAGAAGATATTTATGAGGTGAGTTTTTGTTCATATGTTAATGTCGAGCCAATTGTGAAACTCCAAAACCCCAAAACGAACGAATTGCAGAAGGCTAATTTATGGCTTTCGTGTTACATCATGAACTAATTAACAGTATAGTATTGTCTTGATAGAATGGAGATTTGGATGAAGATATGAATTCGTATGAACTCAACGGAGTTCCTCCCTCTGAACTGCGCCAGAAATTGTGCCAAGTACTCATCGAGCAACAGGAAAGCCAGATAGTGGAGTTAGAATCTGAGCTGCAAAGGTCGCATCGCAAACTCCACGAGAAAGAAACCGAGCTCCAAGCACTCAAGGACTGTGTTCGACGCCTCACCGACTTTTCTTTAGGTCACCAACATGATCTAACCATCTTTCAGTATGCTTTTCTTCTACCATTTACAACTTCGTTTCAGTTGTTTTTCTTTGGGTATTTGCAGATGAAGACACAGAAGGCCATTCAAGAATGATTGTTGACAATGAGGAGAAGCAGAATATGGGTGGTGACTTTAGGAAATTAATGGTTGGGAGCAAAAGAACATCAATGGAGTTTTGAGCAAAAAAACATCAATTAGTGGATAAGTAGACCAACAAAATACCCCTCTCGGGGAAAGTCTGACCGAGAACTCTTTAGCTTGGTGTATACATAGTCTAGGTCTGATCGATAACTCTTTAATCGGGCATATATATAGTCTACTTATCGGGCATATTTGAAGCTCACGTATAAACTCTAATCATGTAGTTGTATTTGTAACCCGCTTATTTATCAACTGTTTTAAACTGTTGGGTTATATCTTTCGTTTTTTAAGATTTGAATGTACCCGTTACATATGCAATGTCTTGTCAACTTGGTTGAGGTTTGAATTGACTCTTCAGCCCAACTTTAGTTGGACTTGCTAATACTCAAGATTACTATGATGCTATTTTCATCAGTTTATTTTTCTGTCTAATGTTATATATTTATTTTAACGGACACAATTCATAGGGTGGGACCAATATGGACCAAATTAGACGGCCATTGATGTATTGAAGGTGGACAGTATGAACCTTAGCATGTGCACTTTGCTTCATCTAAAATAACCAGCAATTAATTACATTATGTCACTTTGAAGATTTTAATTTTCCATGATTTTACATATTTTTTTTCCTATTATCCCCGTCTTGGGAAAACTAATCTAGATTCAATTTGAGGTTGTTTTCAAAACTTGTAAGAAAGTCTATCTTAGTAAAAGTCGTATACTACTCGCAATTATACTTTTTGTAGATGACGATCGAGAGGAACTTACATCTTATTACCTGATTGTTTACACTTGACAAATCCCGCTCCTATGTAATGATTCACAAATTATACAAGAAAGACGTTGTGCAACAAGATTGGCCAACAGCAGCGTGTTGACAATAATCAAACTCGTAACATTTAAATACAAAAAATATGCTCTAAAGGATAACAGTATATTATTGTATATACTTTCAAAAATACAAGTAATATTTTTTACTCCATATATTTTTATATTCAATATAGTTGTAATTGTTAGGTTGCTGCAACTCTGCAAGACATGTACTGAACCCATAAAAGCTTCAGTGTCAAATGAAGATGAGGACCATACCTAAGTGTACTACACTGTACTCATCTCCAATTATCCATGCATTATTTTATAATAATAATAATAATAATAATAATAATAATAATTATTATTATTATTATTATTATTATTATTATTATTTAAACCATCATCCACTGGACAGGTGAGCTGTAAGCCGTAGTAATATCAATATATCAAAGAAGTGCCAAACATATGGGTTAGTACTTTTGTGATTCTCCTTCAAAAAATAGATACTATCTGATAATAAAGTCGAAACAAATTAATAACGGTTGAAAATTACGTAACATGTAACGATTAATAGACTAAATATGCAATTTTTTTATATTGTTACGCATTAATTCAAAGTTAAGTTATATCTAATTCGTAGAAATACCATTTCAATATTAATATGTTTCTCATAATGCAACATGAAATCCTACCTAAGAAGAACTGAATAATGTACTACTACTATTTGAATTACCGACACATGATTTTCAAATTCCTAATTAATGACATAAATGTCAAGAAAACGATGGACCTAATCTTCAAAAAAAAAAAGCTATCTTGCTGGGAAATTGATGAAAAGTGTGTGTGTGTGTGTGTGTATATATATATATATATATATATATATATATATATATATATATATATATATATAATGTTGTCTTTTTGTGAATTTAAATTCTTTGAAACAGTTGTAACATGCACACATGATGTAGACCAGGCAATGCTCTCCCAGCCTGTGGTCCAAAATTCAAGTAAGATTTACGTACTGAACACCAAGACAACAAAACACAAATTTACTTTTGAAAATTACAAATGGTCTATTTTTTGTTTATGACTAGACAAATTATTTGTACTAACTATTCAAAGTATGTATTTGAATAAACTCTAAAAAATTCGCAACCATTATTAGATGTTACGTACTAAATAAACCTGTTCTTATGTAATAACTCACAAATTACACATGAAAGATTAACATCACTAATAAGACCATGTTCAACGGATCGAGAAAATGTTAGTAAGAATTGAACTTATAACATTCTAATACGATAATACTATTCTACCAGCAAATTATATCGTGCACCAGAGCGCACAATGCATTTTGCGCCCTGGCCCAAAGTGACGTCGTTTTGTACTTTTTATTTTTGATTTTTTTGAAAATTCCGTTTTCCGTGTCTGCTTAACTTCTTTAAACAAAAATCTCATATTTCGAATGTACATAATTTTATATAACAGAATACACATAAACTCTGTCGCGTCAACTCCTACACAACTTAACAAAACGACGTCGTTTTGGGCGGGACAGGACACACAATATATTGTACGCCCTGGTGCTCGATATAATGATTGCTATTCTACCAACCCAACCACCCTTTCAACGCTTACAAGGTTGTACATACATGATACATACTTTGTTAATAAACAGTACAGTATATTCTTGTTAATTGATGGGGAGGTTTTGTGGTGGATTCATATGGAACCGACGCTTCGGTCCCTTTTTGGCCGGCATGCACTTGTGTATGTATGCAGCGGTTGAACAAAGCATTCCACTATTAAAAATTTTGAGATTTTTAAAGTATATTGAATAAATTGAAGAATTCGTTAATTCTCTCCTTTTGATGTTTTGGTTAGTATGAAAAGTGGTACGTAATTAAGAAATTAGTGAATTTTTCAACTGCATTGGTTTAATTTGCAACAAATAATGCTAATGGCATAGAAAACATTATACTGTGACATTTATTTTTATGAACTTACAAGGCATTTTTTTTTTTTTTTTTTTTTGGTTAAGCCATATATTTTTGGGGTAACAATGTAACATTGATCAATAGATGATTCTAACATTTTAATAAAATCGTAGCAAAAGAAAGAGTGATGTTACATTCTTCTCTTAATTTTTTATCAAAAGAAGGGAACCCAATAGGACACTTCATACTTATTGTGTTCTCATAAGGACTTCTTTTCTAATAGTCTTTTTGATCGTGTGAGGGGGCCGGGGGGTCATCAATTTCTCTCCAAGTACCCCTACCTCGAAAGCCATATTAGTCAAGGTGTCGGCGACCATTTTTTATTCCCAGTAGATGTTACACAAAGACCCGCTCACCACTTCTCCCGAGTCACTTTTAATAATAATTTTACAATAACCTTTGCTCCCACTGAAAACCTTTAATTTCATGATCACCCAACTTTTCGTATAGACAATACTACTGACAATACTTAATTAAATTAGTAAGTAGATTTTTTGTGCTCTCCAAGTTAATCAATTAATGAATATATATATATATATATATATATATATATATATATATATATATATATATATATATAAAATTATTGTCATGTCAGAAAGGAACACAGAATGAGATAAAAATTAATTAAGTTGAAAAAATAAATTTTTTTTTTCAAAAGAAATTGGAAACAAACTTAATTAGATCGACAAAAAAAGGGTCAAAATATTCTTGGTGTATATAAGAAGCATGATTATGGAGTAGGAATTGATTTGGCTCAGCTCAGTCTTATCAACAATCATGCACCAAGCTGATAGCAACATTTCTGGGTTTCCTAGGTTGAGGATAATCAACATATATAAAGTACATTAAGAAGCTATTGATGCTTTTACTGTGAACGTAAAATATTTTTTCCATTTCTTGAGATGATGATAAATCTCTATAAAACTTTAAAGAATGATGATAAATCATAAGAAAACTTAAACCTAATTCTTTAATGATAGTCCATCATAATTAAAATAGCCCCTACTGAAGATTAAACTCATGACCAATTCTATTTGAGAGAGTCAATTTGCGTCATTATACCACAGTATCATTATTGACACAGACAAATTTTGATTAATCTGACACAATTATTATATAAAAAAAAGTTGATAATATTACTTGCGGACTATTAATTTAATTAATTTGTTTTGTTTTCTTGCTCTTATTTTATAGTGCATTAAATTTGCTGCTACAATAATACCCACCTGCAGCATTCCAAAGGGTTATCAATCTGCTTTTTAAATTAGTCAAAGAAACATGACAACTACCTGCCCATATTTTCATTCTTCACAAAATCCAAACAAATTTATACAAATTAAAAAACATTACTATTTTTTACTTTATCCCCATAGGAATGATGAACATAAGTCCCCATAACTTGTAAAAAAATTTATAAGGAAAAAGATAGCTTAATTGGTTTTTGCTGTGAAGTCCAGCCAAAGGGTCTGCTACATGGGATGCCCTTCTTGGACATGTTTCAATAATACACACATGGGGTTGTCCACACCAATTTTCATTAATCCCAAAAAATAACTAATAATAATACGGAGTAATATAATATTCAAGTATCAGGTTTAATTTCAAAAACGTAACGTACTGAAAACTTTTACATACCCCACGAATATAAAATTTGAGTAACGTAACACCAGAATTAAATCGACGCCCACCTGTAACAGTAACATATAAGATTATAGTCGATACAAATCAGCACCGCTCCACCTTAGCCCGTGATTCTCCATCACTTCATAAATGTTCCAACCCATACCAACACATCTCCATCAAGGGCCTCACAACCTAATGGCTGTGTCCTCTGCAACGCTTTCAAATTCCAAAAAGTTGTGTTACACTTCCTTAACTCATATGTACCCTAACTCCAACATACATTACATGCCCCTTTCGTCACCATTCCCATGACTCCATTTTTGTCCTAATTAAATAACCTCTCATCCATTTCCCTATAAAAATTCAAACTTTTTTCTTCATCATCATCTCATCATACTATCCAAAACTGTACGTTTCCATTCAAAGCTTCCATGGAGCTTCTCGCTGCTAAGACCAACTCCGCCGCCATTCTCCTCCTCCTCCTCCTTCTCGTCGCCGCCGCGCCGTGCCTCTCGGCGGCGACGGCGGCCGTGGATTCCTTGGTCTACGACATCGATTACCGGGGCCCGGAAACCCACTCCAATAACATCCCGCCGCCGAATAGAGGCGGCGGGAGGCACAACTTTCGCCGGCGGCGTCCGATCGCGGCGGCGCGTCACAAATCCAAGGGCGTGAGAGCCAGCAAGGGTGGACGTAATGTAAGACCAGCAGACAACATCGTCGTACAGTTTCGTCGCTAATTGTATTAACCTGATCAGCTGCATTTCTTCTGTGTTTTTTTTTTTTTTTTTTTTTTTTTTTTTTTTTTTTTTTTTTTTTTTTGTAGGGGGAGAAGAAGTAAGAAGAAGACTAATTAATGATGTTGAGCAGTGCATCAAGAAGACAATTATAATTAGAGAGCAATGATTAAGATCTGATGATGGGGTTTATTTGATGTATTGAAATTGATGATGATGATGATCAAGAACAGCTAAGTTGCTATTTTGTGATGTGCTAAGAAGAATTGATGTTTTCTAGAAACTAAGAATCAAGAATATATATATAACTAAAGATCATAGTATCATCAAATGTGGTCATGTTTCACTGTGTTTATTTTTTACAGTGTGAAAGATAATCGTAGAACTTGTTTGGTACTTTGGTGTTAGGTTATTGCGTATTCAGAAAGTAATGTGAAGATAAAAGTAATTTATTAATGATGAGTAATTTGAATTTTTATGATCCATTTGTTTACATACAAGAGAGAGCTGAAATTAAGTTTATTCGTTAGTTGAATTTTTAGTGGATATTTTCTTCTTTTAAAGATAGTTATTTTACCTATTGTAAAATGTGAGTAGTTGTAGAAAGGTAATTACAATCCTTATATCATTGAGCAGGGTTTATAGTGCACTGTGGAACATGGTACATATGTATGTTGATAGGGATATTGCTAGGCTGTACACCTAACAACTACAGTCGGTAATGAAGCTCAAGGCCTCGTTGGTTTCGACCGACCTTGACCGGGATACTCAATTTCCCGACTTTTTTCTCTTTATGGGGTGCATAGGTAGGCTAGTCCTCAGTTATTCCCGAGCCCTACGAAGGGCTCGACCGCTCCAGATCGGTCCCGAGCGCCCCACCTTAGTACGATGTGACCTTGTCGAGAATATAACACCACACGTTAATGACCCCTTCAGCCCCGACCTAGACCCATGCATGCGCCACGTGCCATTCATGCCGGGGGCCCGGGTCCTGTCCCCTCCTCTCTCCTATAAATAGCGCATTTATTATTGAGAGGAGGATCTTTTTGACCTACTTCACACCCGTACTATTTGACTGAAGACTCCCAATCTACTGTCAGAGGATCCCGAGCTCAAGTACACAATACACATACGTCCGTATATATTGTATCATATGTGTCTTATATTGTAAGTTTTTGTATTTTGTGTTATGAAATTTTGTATCCAAGTATGAATTGTGTACCTGAAACAAATTAGTAATTGTGTCTTATGTTTTGAATTTATGTCTTGTATTGTGAAATTATGTGTCCATAAACACATGTTATGTACATAAACTATATTTGAAAATAAGTAAATAAATAACATGTATATATATCTTGTGTTATGATTTTGTATATTTTGTGTTATGAAATTACTCTTACTTGATATGATTAATCTATTTATGATCAAACACCATGTAAATTAGTATGGACATTTTTTTTTCTAGAAAATATTCCCACACCTTACTCTAATTTTGTAATGATGTTCTTAGAACAAGGGCATCCAATTGAAAGGAATTGAAGATTATAATATTATATGATGCATGGTAATATATGTTTTCTTGTATCTTAGACTTAGGTTCCCCCATGACATTTTAACCATTCCTAACTATATATCATATCGCATGTGCCTTAGAAGTTAAGTTATTGACTTGGACTTAAGAATTATTCATACATATTTTTCAACACCCCAAGTAGTTAAGAATTAGTCATGGATGATACACCCCAAGTAATTTGCTTTAAGAGTAAGTTTAACAATTTTTGAGTAATGAGAAAAATATGGCGTCATTATTTAAGAATGTCACATAATAAACACTATTCTTGTGTAAATTTACAAAATATAAAAGAGAGGTAATTGCACTAGGAAGACTTTGACCTATACGACGAATTCGACTAAGAGTGTATGTTGACAAAAATTAAACTCATTACCTTATGGTATTATAATCATGCTCCATTCACTCAATTATCCCTTCTGGTCCGACCTATTACCTTTACAAATTATAGTATACTCTTATATGAGTGCGTCGAAAAAAAAAAAAAAAACTCTAAGTCAAATCTTTGCTCGAGTAAAAACTAAATTTTACAAGCTCAATAAGAATGGACCAAATTGTAAATATTAATTTGTTTTGGGGGCAAATTTTGAAATATTTAGAACTACAAGGGTTAAAATTGAATTAATGTAGTGACGAAGCCGTAGCAGACACGGTTTGTATACGTACACGTGTCGGTACGTATACGTAGAGAGAGACTTGTGGTGGACCACATATATATATTCTTCGCCCGTCTCAGGCTCACAGATCCCCGGACTTCTTCAATCCCCCTTTTGAATTTTTGGATCTGAATTTCATCGAATTTTGATCTCCATGGCGAGTTCTGAAGAATCGAGTCCTCTCCTGCCAAGGCAACAAGAAGCCCAGGCGAAAAATGAGAACAACTCATCGAACCAAGCCGCTCCGGCCGCCCCAGCTCCTCCGCCGGCTCCGGCGGACACGGTGAAGCCACCCCCGGCTGTTATTCCGATGGGGTGGACCGCCAATGGCCTGCCGTTGAGATACAGCGTGACGGGTGAGCCCGTCGCGGCTAGGGCGCAGTGGGATTCCGGCCTCTGTGCTTGTCTGGGGAGGAATGATGAATTCTGCAGCAGTGATCTTGAAGTTTGTGAGTTTTCTCAATTTCTATTTGATTTACCTTTCCCCCCTTATGGAAATCACGAAATCGAAATTTGATCTTTGTGGTAAACGTGTTTTGGGTGATTAATTCATGATTAAATTTTGGTTTTTGCTCCATTTTTTTTCCTGAATTTTTCTGTCGGATTTGATTAGGGTTTCTTTCTTAATTAGCTATAATCAGTTAAAGAGGCATCATTGATTTCAATTCTGCAGAATAAATCATTGATTTCAATTTCGATCAATATTTTGCATTTCTATCATGTATTGCCAATACCATAAATCTGTAGCTGATTGAACTAGGAATACACTTTGAGCTGTGTTGATTAATCATTTTGTTTAGTGACAACAAAAGCCTATCCTTACCTCTCTGTACTTTTCCCTTTTTGAATATATTATGATCATGTCTTATTGATGAACAACATATAGGTTTAGGTTTGATGCTTCATGTTAGTTTGAATATACAACATTGTACTGCTTTACTGATGATTCTTGAAACGGATTAGGTTTGTTAGGAAGTTTGGCCCCTTGTGTGCTCTACGGAACCAATGTTGAGAGAATTGGTTCTTCCCCGGGGGCTTTCGCCAATCACTGCTTGCCTTACACTGGTTTATACCTGATCGGGAATTCGTTTTTTGGTTGGAATTGCCTGGCTCCCTGGTTCTCTTATCCTAGCCGTACCGCCATTCGCCGCAAGTTCAATTTGGAGGTAGAAGATTAAACTGCATCTTTTTCAGATTGAAGAGTAATGTGCATAAACATCCTTTTGTTCATTATATTGGTTGAAGAGTAATGTGCTTGAACATCTTTTTGTTCATTATATAGGTTGAAGAGTAATGTGCGTAAACATCTTTTTTTGTTCGTTATATAGATTGAGACTTGAGAGTGATGTGCATGAACATCTTTTTGTTGATTCGTGAGATGCCATTAAAGAGAAAAGCGTGTATAGAGGGTCTGAAATGTGTTTTGATTAACAGGGGAGCTGCGAGGCGCTTACCAGATCATGTGGGTGTGGTGGGAGCTTTGTGGAAGATGATTTGCAACGCGAACAGTGTGAATCTGCTTGTGACTTGGGAACTCACGTCTTTTGCCACCTATGCGCCCTGTGTCAGGAAGCTCGTGAAGTTCGTCGTAGGCTTCCCCATCCCGGGTTCAACGCCCAACCCGTCTTGGTCATGATCCCTCCCGGAGAACAGACAATGGGTCGCTAAGCGCAATGATTGTCCATTCATAGATATGGTTCTGCATTACCTGATTGTTGTTCTTCTATTGCCAATTAAGCCTGCACTGAGTATACTTTCTTTGTCTTTTTAGATCATCATATTTATAAATAAGACATGTATCATTTTAGTACCATATGGGTTCAACGTATGAATTACACAAAGTTGGAATAAAGAAGATTGTTTCTGTCCATAATGCTAGTCCGTTAAATCAGTTGATACACTTTTAAAGATTGCACCATAATTCTGAGAGCTCCCACCATTCTTGTTAGGGGTGAGCAAATGGTTGGTCGGTTACAAAACCGACCGTAGTTTTTGGCCTTCGTAACTGACTGAAGGCGGTCTTATGACCGATAACCGATGGTCGGTTCGGTTATCGGTTTTTGGTTAACGCCTTCGTAACCGACTGAAGGCGGTCTTATGACCGATAACCGACGGTCGGTTCGGTTGTCGGTTTTTGGGCGTTAACCGATAATTTACTCACCCCTAATTCTTGTACAGGAAGGAGATCCCATGTGAATAGCAAATAAAACGATGATCCTGTAAATGTTCAGTTTCCAGAATAAACCTAAAATGAAATAACATTTTTTAAGAATAGCAGTGGCTATGGTGCACAAAGAAACATAAAATGTAATTGTGGTACAAGAAAATCAAGAAGCCAGCAAGAAAAAACAAAGCAAACAACATTGTTTGATGCTAACTTAGCCAGCACAAGAGAAACTAAAATCTTCAATTCATCAAGTTGGGATAAGAATAAAGGGCATTCATTGTTCATAAACAAAAGGCAACCATCTCTGGGAAAAAAAGTTTGTCAGACAGATTAAGACACTGCATCTCAACATTAAAATGGACTATTTCTATGTATCTATTACATCTATTCTCCGGGTGCAGAGACGCCTTGCCTCAGTCTTTCCTTCTTCATCTTCTTCTTGGAGATTGGCTTCTTTTTCTTCGGGGGAAGAGCCTTTTGTGCGTACCTATAAAGCAAGAAATTCCCAACGAAGAATGCTAGTAGAAGACCACCAACGAGAAGTAGGACAATTAATCCAGGGTTGAACCCCTTAACTTCAACATCCTGAGCCATATTTCTCTGGTTATTCATCAGATAAGAGAAGTCATTCATGTAATTCAACAAAGTAAATCAAGCAACAAATTATGTATTAAATCAAATAAAACGCAAAGAAATATATATGGCCCTAACATATCTTGACATTGTTCTTTCCCATTGCTCATAAAAGAGACTACACAAGTTTCTCAAAGGAAAGAAAACAATACAAGAGGGTGTATATCACTCAACCTGTATATTTTAAGAGAGAATACAGACCATAACGTCATATCATATACAACCAAATTTGAGGAGATTCTCTTCTCATATACAACCAAAAAGAGGGCATGCAAAAGACAAGCCAGAAATTCATACCCAAAGCATATCCTGTTACAAAAAGTTTTTAACAGCAACTATGCATTGCAAACATTCAGTGAAAACATATCCTCAAACTACTCCCCAAAATGAAACATCAACCAAAGCAAAATCTTAGCAATCATCTTGTCTGTGATACAAAAGACAAGAAAACTAAA